ATTTTTAATTTTTCATATGTTACGGCTTTATGGGAATTGGCAGTATTTAAAGCACGTGAGGCCATTAAGAGATATCCCTATTTTCGAAAGGTTTCCTGTATTAATCTGTGTTGCAATAGTTTGGATCTATTCCCTTATACTGACTGCCAGTGGGGCTTATCATGACAAGCCGATTGCTACTCAACTTAGTTGCCGTACTGACCGAGCAAATATCATATCGACTGCTCCATGGTATAACAGAACATAAACTTCGGTTTCTCATTATCTGTGTTCTGTTTTCACTGGTTCAGACATTCATGTTCAATGCTTCAGGTTCAAGTTCCCTTACCCTCTTCAATGGGGACCCCCTACATTTTCAGCTGGGCATTCCTTTGCTATGATGTCTGCGGTTCTCGTGTCTATGGTAGAGGTACGTCCACTTGAAGTTCAAACTGTGAATAATTTCTGGATTGATGAAATTGCTTCTTAATGTTACTTATGATGATATAGTCGACAGGAGCTTACAAGGCGGCATCTCGATTGGCTATTGCAACTCCGCCTCCAGCTTATGTGTTAAGCCGTGGGATTGGCTGGCAGGTGGGATGGTTTAACATTACTAGCACTAGTTTACTTTTTGTACTCTTTCCTTTGATCAAACAGGTAACAACCAAACCAAGCTAAGATCAAACTTGGACATTATAGAACTTGAACCTAAGCCCTCGATTTTCGAGTCTTTGCCTTACCCACGTTGGCAGTCTATTGAATGAATATTTCTTTCATAATCTTTGCAGGGGATTGGTATCATGCTTGACGGTCTATTCGGAACGGTCACTGGTTCCACAGTTTCAGTGTAAGATACATGCTTTCAGACCAGCAATTGCTGCATGCTGCTTGTGTTGTATTCTTCTCCATATTGTTGATAGATATCATGGTTATATGCTTCAGGGAAAATGTTGGACTCCTCGGACTAAGCCGTGTTGGAAGTCGCAGAGTAGTTCAGATATCTGCTGCCTTCATGATGTTTTTCTCTATCTTGGGTACTTCATCTTACTTGAGACATCCATACATGTTATATTCTCAATCTTCTTTTCGAAAATTTTCATATATTTGGATGATCATAACTATTATACTCGTGTTGTGTCGATGTATTTTGCAGGAAAATTTGGTGCAGTGTTTGCATCCATACCATTCCCAATCTTTGCAGCACTCTACTGTGTACTTTTCGGTCTTGTCGGTAGGAATAATTCGAACCCGAAGTTGTATTTTTCTCTCGTGTTCTTAGAACCTAGATGAAAAAAATGTTGCTTGCTTGGTTGATTCCAGGTTCAGTTGGACTTTCCTTTCTGCAATTCACAAACATGAACTGCATGAGAAACCTAATAATAACAGGGCTATCACTCTTCCTGGGGATTTCCATCCCACAATTCTTCAACGAGTATTGGAATCCGTCGCATCGGGGCCTCGTTCACACGAATGCCGGATGGGTAAGCTTCTAAACTTGTCACATTGATACTGTTTACAAAATGTTGAAGCGAGTGCGTGTGATTTTGCAGTTCAATGCATTCATGAACACGGTATTCTCGTCTCCGGCGACAGTGGGACTGATGGTGGCGGTGTTCCTGGACAACACGATAGAGGTGGAGAAATCGAAGAAAGATCGAGGGATGCCGTGGTGGGTGAAGTTCAGAACATTCAGAGGAGATAATCGGAATGAGGAATTCTACACTTTGCCTTTCAATCTCAACAGGTTTTTTCCACCTACATAAAACAATAACCTTTGTGGGGACCGTCATTCCAAGTTCAGGGCTTTGCCAATTGCACATATCCTCCGCTAATCTAATCCAAATTTTGGATTTTTTTTTCGCTTCATCAGTTTTTGCATTAGGTCTATTAATATTCAAAACAACGATGAACATGATCATTAATGGGTAGTAAACCATAATTCTTGTATTTTTTTTCTTATCGTAATTTTAATTAAAAATTGATTCATAATTGTCCTTTTGTATCTTATTTTTAATATCGTAATAATCTGCAGTTGCCAGTTTAATTATAATTAAGTAGCACAATTTAATTTAAAATATTCGACCAATTAAATACGTCCAGTATGTTTTTTTTTAAAAAAAAACAACATACAGAAACTATGTAAAAAAATTATAATGTAAACCATTCAATTATCATTCTATTTCTGATTTTATTGTAAGATTAAATTTTAGAACAATTTTATTTTAATTAATTATTTTTCAAGTGATACAGTAACATATTTAGATGTCAACCTCTACACATCCTATTAATACAGATTTACTTTTAAATAGCATGAACCAAGTTAAAGAGATGATTGTTGTCCCTAGGAGTCTTGGATTCGAGCACTAATCTCCACAAAGTTGTTTGGGCATTCATTGTTAAAATAATTTTAGAATCTCTAGAACATATATACCTTGTAGTCACATATGTTTAATAAAAAAAATTACTTCTAAATAAATTAAAAAAATTAATCTTTCACATTTATAATTGTATCCAGAAAGTTTCTTCTTCAGAATTATATTAGCTCAGCAGATGTGTATGTATATCCTTCCAGACATCTCCCTCTGGTAGTCTGCAGTCCTTGGATTGAAGGTTTTGGTAAGCCCACTAAACGTTCACCTTTTTTTGAGCCTTAAAGCATGGGAATTGATATATAGGTATGCTTGATGGAACATATTATTGCTCGCAAACAGAAAATATTCGTAAATTTTAAAAAAATTCACATTTAATATCATAAATAATAATATTGTTGGGTAAATTATACCATTTCTCACTGAATTATACTCTCTCTCTCTCTACTATTTTTCTCACCCAACTTTCAATTTGATCAATTTGCTCGCTGAATTTTACAATCTAATCATTTTGCTCATTCGACCATTTTCTCTCGAATAGCTGATGATGTGATTTTTTTTATTTAATATAAAATAATTTAAAAAAATAAAATTAAGATAGAAGGTGGCCATGCCACCGCAGACCACTGTAGACTGTGACCGTTCAATATTAAAATAGGATGGATCGTTTTGACTCGACATCTTTTGAGTTTGAAAGTGAGGAAACCGAAACATTTCAGTCGATATTTACGATTTTTGGGATATTTTCTGATGAAATAATCACTAAATTTGGATTTAGGGGTTAATATAAACAGACCCATAAAATTTAGATCGAAAAACCACAATCTACGATGATCGACAACAGCCAAAATGAAAATGACGTGTGGCCAACGAAGAGAAAATGAAGAAGAGAAGGGAATAGGGTAAATTACCTCATGAGTAACTAAACTTTATTCTTTCTCTCTCTCCCTATTTTACTCACTAAAACAACTTCATTTTGGAATATATTTGGGTTTCTCAAAATAACATCGTTTTGAAGCTTGTGCCACATCATAACGCCGTTAAACAGTTAACGTTAGAATGAGCAAAATAATTCAATCTATAAAGTTCAATGAGCACATTGAAAGTTGGGTGGAGAAAATAGGAAAGAGAATAAAATAAGTGAAAAAGGTGTAATTTAACCTTTATTGTTTTAAAAATAAATTTATTCGAATAGATACTGTTCCTAAAATTAACACTAATGAAAAAAACCAAATAAACTTAAAAGAAAAGGAGATAATAATTTGATTTTTCTAATATTAGTTACAAAATAATATTATTCTTGTATTTTACAAAGATGGGTCGTGGGTATCGTCCACTTCAAACTTTAACGCCCCCAAAATCCTACCATTCTCTCTACAACGAAGGGATTTTGGTTAATTGAGGTGCTATGGTTCATTATCGGCTCTGTTTTGAAAATCGGATCGAACCGGTCGGTTCAACAGAAAATCGTTGTTTAGTCTGATTCAATCTAAACCGGTTGAACCGCTATTAATGAATCGGCCAGAACCGTTCGAACCGGACCGGCTGAAAACCGGAAAACCGGGATTTTTGTTTTTTTAAAAAAAAAATTTAAACCAAACAACGTCGTTTGTTATACGAGCCAAGTCGAACTCGAGTATTGCTAAGCTCGACTTAAACTTGAAAACTTTAAAAGTAAGCTCAACTTAACTCAAACTCACAAGCTAAAAATTATCAAGTTCAACTAAAACTCGAAATATAATATTGAAACTTGAACTCAAAAAGGCTTGAACTCAAAAAAAAATTAAAAGCTCGATTGAAGCCTAAAATTCGGAGCTTGATTGAAGTGAAAGAATAGTTCACTCAATGCTCACCAAAAAGGCTCTATGATTTTAAATGCCAAATTACCTCTATTATTTATAGAAGTTAGTTGTGATGCGCTTCTATGTTTCTTAGCAATGTGAGATTATTTTGTTCTCATATTTTTACTCTTTAGACTTTTGGGATGCTCTTCTATGTTTCTTAGTCGTGTGATATTCTTTTAAAAAAAAATTAAATCAAACAATATCATTTTGTAATGATTTTTTTAACACTAAATTTATTTTTTAATTATAGTTATATAATTATATTTATTATTTAATATGTTTTACCTTAAATATTATGTTGTAGTTAATTTGAATCATTTTGTTTCACTTAATTTTATGGTTTTTAACTTATATATGTTATGACTTGCTTTGAATATGACTTGTGATATAAAAAATTATTTTTTATTAAATATTTTTTATATTTTTATTTAATTTTTTAAATAATTATGATGTCGTCCGGTTCTTCCGACCGATCGGATCGGTTCAACCGGTTGAACTAATAAATCGATAGCATGACCGATTCGCTAACCGGTCCGGTTCTGAAAACCATGATTATCGGTTTAGATCTTGGAATGATAACTTTTATGAACCTCATTACAAAGACTTATGACTGACCTCGTTCCCTGTCACAAATAAATTATGAACATCAACTGTCAGCCTCAGATAAGATTGGTTATTTTCATTGTCGTCATTACATAATATCTGACAATGTAGGCAATTCTTAATCATCATATGCCTCTAAAATGCATAGCTTCTGACTAAGAGCTTAAAAAATAACTTTATAATTTGATGATAAAAACAAAGTCGAGAGCCTCAGAGATCAAATTGGCATCAAAATAATGTAATTATTCAGTCGGTAATTCCAACTATAAAATAAGAAATCATCATTGGCTCCAGAATCCAATCCCTAACAATCCTGTCAAATTGAGAATGTAATCGCCGAAAACGGCACCGTGGATCACAAAAGTTGAGATCCACGGGTTCCTATCAGAAGGCGAAGCATTAGATTTATTTCGGTCCAATCATAGCATCGCCGGTCACCGCTTTTTCATTTTTGCTACCGGCGACGTGGCATCGGACCCAACACAATAAAAAAATGGATATTCGAATATGAAAAGGCGTACACCTCAGAGACCCGTTTCAAATCAACCACACAACGTAACAAGCTTTCGAGGGGAGACCTCGTGTGGATTCCCGGCCAATGATCGAGCAACCTAAGAACACGAATCAGAGGGCTGACATTGGCTGAAGGAAAAAGGAGATTTTCCAAAGCTTGCTGCCGTTGCTGATTAAAGTGTCATACGGCACTTCCTATCTATGGGATGTCTTCGTCATTGGTATTTCGCTACACCAATCAAATACAATTATTCAAGAAACAAAAGAAAAACCCTACAAATTTCATGATTTGGACGATGTGAAGGAAGTGATCGGCAGTGGTGATTTATAGAGAGCAATGATGTCAAAACCCTAGATGAGGAATGGGCTCTGTAATTGAAGGCTTCATTCATGGGTTTAAAATGACCGGAAGGGGCTTTAGGGTTGTCGTGAATAGGGCCAATTGTTTTGCTCCGGGTTCCGCTGATTTAAAGAATTATTTTTTCATTACTAGGGACGAATCGTTTTCTTTTTCGTTTTCATGAATATTAATTATAATATAATATTTATTCAAAATATTTATTAAACATGCATAATGTATAACTATCATGTAAACGAAATTGCTCAACCTTAATTTTTTTAATGAAAATAACACTCTTTAACCATTAAGTTCACTTCCTCCGTCTACTAATTTTTTTAAAAAAACTCATAAACCTTGCAAAATAAAGATTTATACATAATTTCTATCATATACATATAATTAAGAGTGTTCAAAAACATTTTATCTAAACTATTCAACCTGTTGATCCGCCGATTCAGTATAAAATTATTGCGTATTTTAAAAGTAAATATCTGATTTTGCGGGTAAGATATTTGACCCATTATTTTTTGACGAATTTTTGAGTCAGGCCCGGGTCACAAAATTACCCTTAACCGCGTACCCTATTGAATCTCTATTTTTTTCAAATTATTTCACCTTAACATTTAAATTATTTATTTTAATCTTAAATTATTTTAAATTTAGTTTTTCTATTAATATGAGATAAGTCCAAGACAATATTTGTTCAAATATAATTCTCACCCTTTTGACATCGTACACTCACACCTCTTGCATCTATTGTGCTCGAACTTGAGTCTTCAAAAAATAATAACAATTCTTTTACTACGACCACTTGGTTCGTGCTTTAAATTTAGCTTTAATTTTATAATTTTACTTTTTTTATATTTTTAAATTATATAATTTGAATTTATAAATTTTATATTTATGTTATGTATTGTATAAACTTTTAAGTTTTATCTTTTTTATATGTTTTTTTCTAAAAATTAATAATAAAATAAATAAATATTAATTGGATATCCATGATCCGAAAATACAAATACTTAAATTTTATGGATAATTGGCTTACGGTACCCGCCTCTTACGGGATAGGTCATCGACTTAGGCTTTGCTGTCAATAAAGTCATCGTCCTTAAATCTGACTTTTTGGTGCGAAAACTAAAGATATTCTCAAGTGTTGCTTCCTTCCATTATTATAAAAAGTTCAAACATTTACAAATTAGTAGACTTTATCTCTCCTTAAAAATCGGATGACGTCTGTTAGTATAGAATTAATAATAAAGCCCAAAAAAATAAAAATCTTTAAAAATTATATTCGCCTGCTGATCAACACTGACATATTATTACTCTAATTTTAGCCAAGAGTTAATATGGACTAAATTGAATAATTCAGATTTAAAAAAAAAACTAGAAGTGAACTGTATCGTCCAACCAAAAGGATAGAACACCACACAAATATTAAAATAAATAAGAGTAAATTACATCATTCTTCACTGAATTTTAATTTGATCACGAAATTTTACAGGTTGAATCATTTTACTCACTTTACAGTTAACTATTTAACGTTGTTATGAAATGGATCAGTCATCAAAATGATGTCGTTTTGAAAAACTCAAATATACTCCAAAACGACATTATTTCGGTGAGTTATGGTGTAATTTACCTTTTTTCCTTCTCTTCTTCATTTTCTCTCCACCGATCACCATGTCATTTTCATTCCGAGCACAGTAGATGGTGGATGTTCGGTCTCAAATTTCATGGGTCGGTTCGTCTCGACCCCTTGAGTCTGAATCTGGTGGTTGTTTCACCAGAAAATGTCCCAAAACCTGTGAATTTGGACTGAAATGTTTTAGTTTCCTCACTTTCAATCTCAAATTCATGGACCTCGTAGCAAGTTCTGATAAAATGGAGGTTGAATTCGGACCATAAATTAATTTAGAATTTATATGGAAAATAATGAAACGAATCAAGAGGTAATAAACGAAATTATATAAATATCTTTAACTCAAATTAGAGTTATTTAAAATTTTATTATTAAATAAAACAAGTACACGCTTAAAATTAATTCATAGAAATAAATAATGTAGCAATAATCTTAAATATCCGACAGCTCAAATAATAATAAAATAACAAGAACAGACGTAGCAAAGCTGACAATATTTTCTTAACAAAAATAAAAGGCTTAAAGTATAAAATAAGTTGTTAAACTATATCTATTTTCAAGAATAGGTGTTTATAGTATTTTTCGGTATATTCAAATTTTAACGTTACAAACGTTATTTATTTAGGTGATCGAGTCGTTAACGACATTAATTTTTTCGTTAAGCGACATGTATCACAGTCTTATGATTTTAAAATTTATTTTTTTAAAAAAATATTAAAAATATTATTATATTTATAAAAAAAACTTAATTTCTCTTAAATTATAAAATAGCTTCAAATCCCCAGAATATCTAAATCATACCCTTAATCCGCCAGCGGCGTAATCTCTGTCATCCTCCTAGTCATATGTCACCGTATTTGTTGTTGATTGGCCGTAGAAATCGCGTTGGATCGTGATTTTCAACCTAGGGTTCGAGGGGTATAGAACATTAATTCGTCGTCAATCGGTCACGATTTCATTGGGGTTTTGATCACCGGGGGAGGGGAGGTCGGGTGGAACTTCATTGACAGTAAAAGGTGGTGGCCGACGTGAATTTAGGGGTTGAAATGAAGATTTTTAAAGTTTTGGATTTATTTTGAAACTTCTGTGTTTTATTTTTAAAAAATATATAATTTTATTTTTTAAATTTTATACAAGTTTTAAAATTATCAGATTGTGACACGTGTCATTTAACCGGAAAAATTAACGTCGTTGACGACCCAGACACTATTTTCTAAACGGGTAACATTTATAATGATAGGCATCTGGATAAACAAAAAAATACTAAAAACACATATTTATGAAAATATGTATATTTTAAAGAGAAAAGAACCTCAGTGACAAAAAATGCCTTATAATATATGATTTTAACTAACTTTTTTTGGATTTGCCAAAATGACCAACTAAATCGCAATGCGATCGATAATTCGCAACGCGATCTCCGGTATCGCAAATCAGTTTCCAGATTCGCAACGCGAACTTCGACTATCGCATTGCGATTTACATATTCGCATTGCGATAGTCCAAGTTCGCGTTGCGATTTATTCCAAGTTCGTTGCGATAGTCCAAGTTCGCGTTGCGATTTATTCCAAATTCGTTGCGATAGTCCAAGTTCGCGTTGCAATTTTTTCCAAGTTCGTTGCGATAGTCGAAGTTCGCGTTGCGATTTATTCCAAATTCGTTGCGATAGTCCAAGTTCGCGTTGCGATTTATTCCAAGTTCGTTGCGATAGTCCAAGTTCGCGTTGCGATTTATTCCAAGTTCGTTGCGATAGTCGAAGTTCGCGTTGCGATTTATTCCAAATTCGTTGCGATAGTCCAAGTTCGTGTTGCGATTTATTCCAAGTTCGTTGCGATAGTCGAAGTTCGCGTTGCGATTTATTCCAAATTCGTTGCGATAGTCCAAGTTCGTGTTGCGATTTATTCTAAATTTGTTGCGATAGTCCAAGTTCGCGTTGCGATTTATTCCAAGTTCGTTGCGATAGTCGAAGTTCGCGTTGCGATTTATTCCAAATTCGTTGTGATAGTTCAAAATCGCAACGACGGTATTGCATTTGTTTCTTAAGAATTTTATCTAAAAAGATAGTATTCGCGCGGACGTGTCGAAGACACGTATTACCACGACCCCGACCCGACCCGACCCGAGACTGACGGCGACGGCGGCTGCGTGCGAGAGTCCCCCTTGTTCTCTATCACTCAACTAGGAAGTGGGAAAGCCAAGCCTTAAATACTATTCCCAATAGTGTTTCCAATACTATGTGGGATTGAGCATTATCAACACTTGTTCTCAATACTATGTGGGATTGAGCCTTAAATAATGATATTATTTTTGAATGTTTTGCTTAAAATTGCAATAATCGCGATTGATTGTAGATTGACTTTTAATTATGACATATTTAATCGTATAATACTAATGCAATTGGTTGTTGATTCAGTTGTTTTAAGGTGCATGATTGTTAATTGTTTCCTGAATAATCACATTGTATTGGAAACAAGTGTTGGTAATGCTCAATCTCACATAGTATTAGAAACACTATTGGGAATAGTATTTAAGGCTTGGCTTTCCCACTTCCTTGTTGAGTGATAGAGAACAAGGGGGACACTTGCGCGCCGCCGCCGTCCATCTCGTCTCGGGTCGGGTCGTGGTCGTGGTAATACATGTCTTCGACACGTCCGCGCGAATACTATCTTTTTAGAAAAAATTCTTGCGATTTTGGACTATCACAACGAATTTGAAATAAATCGCAATGCGAACTTGGACTATCGCAATGCGAATATGTAAATCGCAATGCGATAGTCCAAGTTCGCATTGCGATAGTCGACTATCGCATTGCGATTTACATATTCGCATTGTGATAGTCCAAGTTCGCATTGCGATAGTCGAAACTGATTTACGATACCGGAGATCGCGTTGCGAATTATCGATCGCATTACGATTTAGTTGGTCATTTTGACAAATCCAAAAAAAATTGATAAAAATCATATATTTTTAGACATTTTTAGTTAATGATGTTATTTTCTCTATTTTAAACACTTATTTTATACTTAAGCCAAAATAAAAAGATAGTAAATATCTATATAACCTCCCCAGGTCTGAATCCCATACGCTCATGTTTCGGTTATTTCCCACGATTATTGGTTTCCTATAATATATATTAATATTAATGATAAAGGAAAATGTCTTCTCCTTAGTTTCTACTCAACCCCACCAAATTCCCACTATACCCTTCTCCTCTCCACCCACCTCCAAATGCAAAAGCTCACATCCATAGCCCATAAGCAACTGATTTTTTTTCTGTGTATTTTGAATACAATGACGTCGTTTTTTATTCACCGGACTTGTTAACGCGTCGACTGAAGTCGTTCCTTTCAAGCCAAACAACATCTTCTTCTTCCCTCCAAACATTCAATTGCATTTCATTTGATTCCATTTTTTTGTCTTTCAAAATTCCGACTCTTTTAATATCGCATGCTCCTAATTTTCTTGTAGTTTCGATGTGTGCGTTTCTTATCATCCGTTGATTTTATTTATTTATTTTTCTGTTCTGGTATGAAGCTCAAGTGTGATTGTTTCCCTGCTTTTCTCGCACTTTCCTCTCTTCTATTTTCATGGAATTCCTTTCATCAAGGTCTGTTCCCCCTCTCTTTCTTATCATCTTTAAAAGTATTATGGTTGCTTATATCGGATATTAATGAGAATTCATGTGTTTTCAACGATATGCTCATTGTTAGGCTGTGATTAGCTATAACTTGGAAAGTTGGAATTAAACCGGAGCTTAGACCCATGAATTTGATGGAGAAGCACGATGATGAACGCTTTGTATTTCCTTTAACAAGTCTCCAGATTGGGTAATTCATTGACTTTTAATTGTTCTTATCATTTTTATGTTTTTTATATAAAATTATCATTTGTATGCTTTGTTTTAGACTTTTTGTACAACTTCATTAAGCTAAGGTTTTGGCTTCAGCTACTACTCCATACATTAATGTTATGAATAAACTTCTTCATACATTGTCGTTTTCTTCGGGTGATGATTACTGATTGCTTTTTTCTGATCAGATTAAAAGATTATTTTTACACGGTAAGTCGGTAACTGTGTGTTTCTAAGGACTTGATTTATAGGAAAATATCAAGGCCCGAGAGAAATTTATTTGTATTCTAAGGACTTCCTTTATGGGAAAAGATTAGAACCAGAGGGTACTACTCCGGATTTCCTGCTCATGAATTTTTGTTTTGTAATGTATGATTGCAGGGACTTGCAGTCTTATCTTTCGGATCTTAGCCTTTTCCTGGCCACTAGAAGTAACAGATTCTACATTTTGGTGCACAACAGGCCATGGCTGAGGGGCTTGGGTTCATGGCCAGCTCACTTGTGGTGGCAATTGATGGTTATCAAGGTTATTGAGAACGCCTCTTTCTTTTTCATTAAAAAAAGTCAAATAAGAGGATTATAATTTAGTTAAGCAATTCATTATGTATTTCGCAGTCCAGGTCATCTCCTTTGCTAACACCAAGGGCCGTAGGGAGAGAAAGGAGGGGAAGGAAGCTTCTTCCAAATCAAATGCTGACAATTCAAAAAAGTTTGAGAGGTGGTTCCATTTCATTGATGCTGCAACATTGTCTAAAAAGGGGGCATTACTACGTGAGCTGCATCGGACTTTGTATGGCTTCATTGTATTTGAAGTCACATGGTCAGATGTTTGAGGTATTAACTATTTCAATGAGCTTCAGGTATTTGCTCTTGGATATACTCATTTTTTTGTTTGTAATTCACCATCAAGGTCTTCATTAGCGTTTTTCTTCTCGTATGCAGACTGATACATCTCTGGCCATAGAGGCTAAATTCATGCGAAGATGGGAATTTGAAAGCATTGACCATGCTGTAAATTCTATATCATCATGGTTCTCGGGAGAACAGTTGGATCAGGATTATTTAAAAGAGTACTTGAATCCGACAATTGGTATGTTTTGCCTTCATATTTTAAGACATTAGTAGAAAAGTTATCTTTATGATTTTCTAGGGTGCAATAAATTACCTTTCATTAGCATATGATGTTTAGGGGGTGCAATAAATTATGTTTCACTATCATTTATATCGTTTTGGACATGCAAATCTGTTATAAATTTAGAAATTGCAAACTGGAGATGCATGTTTGCAGGAACCTTGTAGTGTTGTTAAGAGTAAAGTATATTTGGTTGCTTTATAATTCTAACTAGGTGTAGTGTAGTTGATGGAGGGTTAAATCAACTTTTAAAATATGCAAATAAATGATTCCTGTTTATATTTATGACGTTAAAAAGCAGTTCAATGTGTATATTCATTATTCTACCAGAGGGTTTTGGTCTTTTGGTTTATCACGGTCAAGTCAATTGTTACATTTCAGTAATGCATAAAAATCTTATCTATTCCCTAAGAAGGTAATGAGAGTCTTTTACTCATTCAATCTCATATCCTCTCTCCTTAACTTTATCTTATGTTCCCTTTGAACTAAAAAACATTGATAAGTTATGAGTTATATAAGAGGGTTGGACCTAGCACTTCCATTTCACTTAACAACTTAGAGTAGTAAACCCCCTCTATTTTAATTACGCACTCCCAAGTAATTTTGAGTTATGGTGTGAAGCCAGATCATGTCCCGAGTCCAGCACTATTAGTTTATTCAGCCTTTTACTGTCATTAAATATGGTCTCAGCTTCTGTTTATTCCAAAAATAATGTTTTGTTAGGTTTTCCAGTATTTGAATCTTTTGTTTAAGGTTCAATAATTTTCTATAATCTTTTCCACAAAAGCTGTAGAAAAATCTATTCCAATTTGGATATCCTAAATTATGACTGGAATTTTATTTCTTCCTCTAGGTCTTTTTTGGCCTTTATTTGCTGGTCTGGTTTGCCAAGGCTTTATCTTTGGACAAAAGCTTGATGGAGTCTTTAGTGTCTGAATCTTAAACAAGCACTTAAACATGTGGTTTTAGTACACTAGTAAGGCAGATGACACTGGAAAGGAATCATGTTTAAGTTCAAGTGTTTCCAAAGTTGTGCTGTTTTTAACGTCTATTTTGATCAAACTTGCAACTCCTCTTATCTTATAGATGTGGTGAATAGAATTTTCCAGTTATGCTGGCTTAGCCGAAATAAGATTTTTAAGGAATGATACAATAGACCTGTCAGTTCTCTACAGTATTGCAGAAAAACTTCTTTGATATAATGACCTGTACGTTGGCTTTTCATTTAAAGTGTACTTTTATGAGTATGATTGATTATTAGTATCTCTTTTCTTTTCTTAAAGTTATCTTATACAATGGGTAATGCAATTCTATGCCTTCTAAATCAGTAGTATATATGTTATTTCATGCTTCTTAGTTGAATTGAGGTTGGTGCCCTCAAGTTTCTGGTTGTTGGCGAAAGCTCCTTCCATTGATCTGATTACATGCAGGAGTTTCCTATAAGCCTTTGTACCCTACTTTTTGTTGGTGAAGTTACTATCATGTCTTTACACTACAATAGGTACAAAATTTGTTTGGAAAATGGGCAAAGAATTGCTTGATGCCTTCAATTGGTTGTCTGCATATCAGTCTATATATCTTCCACAATGTATATCTCATTGTCGGGCACTTCCACCACATGATAGTCCTAGAAACCTGAAACCACATTTCTCACTTTTTCCCTTCTCAATATAATCAATTTTCTGTTTTAATAAAGTATTTAATCTGGATTGTTTTAGCAGAGGCCTTCTATGATATTGAAGAAGAATTTGATGAGGATGATGAGGATAGTTTGAGCACTGAAGAATGTTTCTCCCATGATCATTGTGACAATGGTGATTTAAGGGTTTACCCAGCAACCGTGGACTGCAAAACTTTTGAGCCGCAAACTCCAATTGGGCCTTATAAGAGAAGGAAAGCAAGGAAGGTAATCAGTACTGGAGTTGAAGTTGATGTGAATTGTGAGGAAATCCAAAGGCCAGATGAAAACTCATTAGACAATTCTACCAAAAATGCAGTGGAAGCTACAAAGTATAGGGATGTTCTTCTTTTGTTTAGATTTGATGATAGAGATCTCCCATTTAAATTACAGCAAATAATAACGCCTGATCTGAGGCTACTTCGTTTGTTAGAGGCTGGTCTTCCATCTTGGGTCATCGTCCTTCAATCGTATCCTGGCTTTTGCCATATCTATCGCCCATGGATGTGCCCGCTGGCCAGAGCTCTATATGTTTCAATTTCAGTCATTACTGTTCTAATAGGGTTTTATGATTTATACAAAAATGTTCCTGTTCTTAAGGCAACTGCTGCTCGTTTATGTGGGCCACTCTTTGATTGGATAGAAACCTGGGAGATGGTATCAAGGATCAAGTATTTGGGAACTATGCTATTTCTACATAACTGTCAGAAGGCTGTGAGGTTGGTTTTGACAGTTACACGTGCTGCTCGATCATTTTTCTCATTTCTGTGTCTACCACTGGCAGAACCATTTATGGACTTTTTGAGCTTCCTTTTGCCAATTTGGAATATGATCAGTGATGTAGTGGAAAGCTTCTTTTCAGTCATATGGATTGTGATTGGTTCTTTGTACAATCTATTGGAGGATCTCGTGGAGTTTGTTCTGATGCCTATATGCTTTATTGGTGTAGTTCTCCGGAACATTGGTAGGTTATCAGATGATTGAATTTTCTAAGGTATTTCCTTGTTTAAGGCATTGGCTCAATGTGTTAATTATGTTCGTTCTTCTTATTTCATGCTACTACAGCAACTCCCATCCTGTATCCTACATTTTGGTTTCTTTGGGAAATACTATATGCCCCAATACGCCTAGTCCTTGCATTAGCCAGATTTGTGGCTTATATGTGTCGGTTCATCTCTCTTTTGGTTGGAGATATATGGCAGTCTTTTTGGAGCATAATTCAACTTGCTTCAGCTTCTGAATCTACAGTGAGCAATAGTGAGGTTTCCATGTGGCGATCACTTTGGAATGACATTTTTTCTCAGGTTAGAAGAATTATTGTAACTTTGATTAATGTCTTTCTTGATGTTTATTTACTTATATTTTCTGTTGTCTTCCAGGTTTTTCGTGCTCTCAGAAGTATATTAAATGGTTTTGTTGCCTTCTTCACAGCCTGCAATAGACATCGCCTAAGGTCCTGCATTTTATATGCCTATTTTATATGCAATAGACCCTGTATTTTAGATTCAACTAGAGATCCAAGAAGGATAGCGTTGAATTACCCCACAAAATGAGTGGAAACAAGTCGTAATTGATTTTTTTTTAATTTAGAGCTCCTTTGAATTGTGGCTTTTCTAATAATGAACGAAACACTGGCCCTTGGGGTGGTTTTAATCTGTAAGGTTTTTAACATCAAGACATTCTAGAATTTGAATCACAGTAGCTTAAAACCCTCATTGTAGTTAAAACTTTAGTTGTTTCGCGAGGATGAACTAGGGGAAGAGATGTTTTCTGTTTTGCAGTAAATGAATTTAATTTCCAGGCATCTGTGATTTTACAGTTCCATTAGTTACTTTAGGCTCTTTTGTTTTGCGTGAAAATCTTTTCTTTGATGACCATGCCCAACCTACCATGCCAAATGAGTACTCTTTTACAAGTTCCAAACCCCTTGGATCTAAAATATCTACTACTGCCATGCTTTGAAACACTTTTGTAATCCATCTCTAGTATAGCTTCCCTCTATTTCACTTGTGAAGATAAATTACCTACTTTTTAACAGTATTGTTAGTTTTTAGGGCTTTCATTATGTAAATATTAGACTGTTTTATCAATGGACAATTGGTCCATCTATTATATTCACTCATCCCCCACGCTTAACAAATTAACAATCATCTCCCAAAATAAATAAAATTTTCCCTGTTGAACTAAGCTCAACCTCAAGTTGTCGTTGTACTTACACGATCATTTTGCTTACAATGTGTACAGCATTTATAATCATGTACGGCATGTTGTTCAAGGACCATTTGGTAGAGCCCCTGTACCACGAACCTCATATCCTAGGAGAAATAAATCAATACATGCTCTAAGCCATGTAAGCCTTCGTAAACTTGGATCTTGTTTTATCTTTTGTTCTCATCTTCACTTCCTTTTTCCATTATATGGAAGACATGTTCCGTTGCCACACTTATAATTCATTTTTTCACAATCATCTATTCTATATGTGCACAACCCCTTGAGCTGATTGATATTTCATAATGTTTCAGCAGCCAGAAATAAGGAGTAGAGTCTTCGGTGGGTCGTATCCTCCTGCGTTGTCATTTTGAGTTGAAAATATGAAAGAAGGTAGTCCTTTGTTCTGATGAACAAACGTCCCAATACAGAAATCTAGAAACTCTCAATAACATGCCTAATTGAAAGCTAACATGAGCCAGTCCCATATCAAGTTCAAAAAAAAAAAAAAAAAAACTGAGAGGCGAGGAAAAGAAAATACCACTTGTATAGCTTAGAGATAATTCTATTCTTTTTATGCCTCTGTGTCTAGGAAGCTGTCTATTTTCTCTATTTCTATTTCTCGATGTTCATTAACTTTAGCTTCTTTTTGTTTTAAATCCTCTATGTTATCTTAACGGTCAGCTTTCTTTGTAACTATTATGTATATACATTTTATCTCTATTTATTTATTTATCCCAAGAAAAAGGGAATGTTGGAAAGTTCTGAATATAACCTTGACCTGGAATAAGGATGATAATTATGGATGTCAAATTATCATCACAACATTCCTGTAAATGTAAATGTTGGGCTGATTGCCGAATTTCTGGTATATGCTAATGCAATAATGAATTGGCACAGCATACATACATGCATAAATACATAAAAACGTACATACAGGTGCACATGAAATTCTCACCTGCATGGTTATACAAACAAGTTATGCAAACAAAAACATAATACCGGTATTACATTAAGTACACCTACACCTTCTGTCCTGTAATCTAATGAGGTCCTAGCTTTCCCTCTGATTTTCTTACTGCCAGCCAGACATCACCCTGCTTCATTGAAGTAGTTCTGCCATCTTGTATCATCTTCCTTTGATCCAGCATATAAATTTCACTTGAACCGAATCGTGTCTAGAACTTGGTTAAATTGACAAATCAGGGGGGAAAAAAGAAAATGAAATATGGTACTTCATATCTATGTTAATCTTAACTTTTCATTTTGCTTCCGTGTCCTTCACATGTTTGAAGTAAGGTATGCAAATATAACTCTCAAAAGACCTACCAAAATACATGGAACATTTTGTTTCCTTTACAAATGCATGCAATTTTATTTAGCATGTACCTGTTTCTGACATCCACACTCAATTCAAAGTAACATAGCAATAGTTTTTTAAGAAGAGTTCTTACCTCGTTTAATGTTGTCCTTTTTGCAATGTGTTTCCTCTTGTTTCTCCTGTGGAATTTCAAGGAATTTTGTAAGCTCTTGATATGCAGCCTGTATGCATCTCTTTGACTGCCCCACATCCATAGCAGCTTTTAGAAGATAAGTCTCAAGCTTCTCCATTTGACAGAGTGCATCCTTAATACGAGAAGCCGCTTCATGGACTGACTGGAAATGATAACTTCCAGTGTTTGTTATGGCGGCCAATGTTTCTGCATTGATGTTGGGTATATCATATAAACATTTCCTTATATTTTTTGGGATTGAATTCACTGCATGATTGCAGTTATCTTGGAGAGTTGGCTCCATTCTTGCGGCTATAGATATACCACGAATAGATTCCACCGCATGCTCAACAAAAGGTCCACAGTCAACCAACGGGCCAGCTGAAACGTCGAAAGTATCTTTTACTGCCGGTAACATGGTATTTTGATCAGGTGGATCCATTGACTCCAAATGAGTGACCTGATCTTTATGAAGATTCTTTCCAACTTCCTCCAGGATTGTATTTGTTACACCTTCCTCCTCCATAGGAGTGAAGGCTGTTTCGAGGTTTGAAGTCTCTGAAGGAACACCCAATGGTTTCATATCATACCCAAGAGCATTTTGTGGTACTTCGTCAACTTCATCATCTGCGAAAATGTTGAAGAAGGAAGTTATGTAATTAGTTCAGCTTCTACTATCGGAGATATCTCAGAGACTAGTATCGGATCAAACAAAAGAAATATATGAAGCTAAACTAGAGTTATGACTTCAGATTTGGAGGAAACAAATATATTTATGTTGTTTCAAATCTTTTAAACACACATATCTGACATGGATACGGAGAATTCGATCCTCCAAGAACACTCCCACTATGAAAATGGCGATAGAACTGCAATGAACATCATCATAAAGCAAGGGACAAGAAGAACAATGATGCTGCAAGTGGTACCTACATCCATTTCCAGCAGCAGATATTTGGCGAACCTTAATATTCGGTAAGCCAGAATGCTGGGGACTCGATGCTGATGGTCTTTTGTCTATCTTCGAAGACCATGGCCATGAATTGGGAGGACTTGGAGGAGTATCGACTAGCAAGAAACCACAGGCTCCATGTCCCTGTGTAAAGAATAGTAACAATCCTTTATCCGTAAAAATAATTCGTTGTGTGGAGGTTGATTTGGGCGGAGCGCCGCGAAAGAGAAAATGTCGACGGTAAATTAAACATGATCCTTGGTTTATACTTTAACTCGCCAATAGGAAGAGAACCCTCAAGAAGTAATTTAACCGTTTGTATCATCATAGAGGGAAAAGGAAATGTAATCCATGCACAATGAAACAAAACCTGCAATTCAATTTCATAATTTCTATTCATGCAGTGGACTCACTTTTTGTTTAAAGATGCATTTTAAAGATTTTTTTTATCCAAAATGCATGCAATAACCTTTAAAAGCAACTTTATCCATCTCCATTAAAGATGAAAACTTTAGCAAAATCATAAACCCGAACCATCGAAAGAGAAGAACATGGCAGCATACCGTTATAGTACTTGGTCTCTCCGGATATTGACGGGGCAGGCTCCGGCGTTGCACTGACACATGGGTGCCTTGACATCATCGCACCATTTGTAGAAACTTCTGCCATAGGTGGCATTGCCGCCGCATTTACAATTACGAGAATAGTATCTTCTTCCGTCGTTGGTGACGCCGTGGGCAACAAAGACGGTGTAAGCCACCCCGCAGTGGCAGCGCAGCACCGGCAGGAGGTGGGTGTCGACCGGAGATGAAGCTTTTGCCGTTCGGTAGTTGGAAGGGCAATCCAGTGCCCAGTGACCTGGCTTTCCGCAAGTAAAGCATGCGCCTTTCTGCTTTCTTTCAGCCGAACTTTGCCTCTCAGATTGATCGGCTGCCATTTTTTTTAGGCTTTTCTTATTTTAGCAGGACTCAGTTTTTCAGTACATGAAATTACTGACGCTCAAAGCTTTCGTCTTTCATTGCTCGATCTTTTGGACTTTTAGTCGCTACTTCCATCATCTTCTGACAAACACAATATTCCTTGGAAAAATGAACCCATTCTTTTAGACTTTGCCACTGCCAGAACATTGCTCAAGCACTAGAGACGATAATGGTTAATGTGAAAAGGTTAAAAGTTATTTTTAAATATATATTTTCTTATATTTATTTTAAATTAACAGAAAAAGAAACTTTTTTACAAAAATTTTCTTTTACTTTTATAAATAAGTAAAAAGTAAAAAAATAAATTTACTATTTAATTATTCATTTATTCTTACTTTTATTTTACTCATTCAATTTTTAAATTATACTTAATATTATATTACATTTATATGTTAATCGATAATATATTAAATCAATCATTAAATAATAGATAATTTATTTATTTTTATAAAAATCGTATAACTTTTTATATTTTATCACATCAATAAAAGACACTTCCTGGAAAGAAAAAAAAAGAATGGGTAGAAAACATTCAATTCATATGACACAAAAAGATGTTTGATTGAGAAATAATAAAAAAAAATTAAATGATATGTGAGTAAGAAAGCATACATATGTGGCTTCATCCATCATTTTGTATCATATTATTAATACACTACCAATATTATGTTGTTGAAGAAAACACAGATTACGAAAATGGCAATTTTCATGTGATAAGGAATGCAGAGAATAGGCAATGTGAATGAGTCAACTCAGAAAAACTCAATCGGAAATATGTGGCCAACCCAGAAATCGAAATACTTATAGATAACTACTGAATGCTAAACAACCATCAAAGCAAGGGCATATATTGAATACGATCTCGAGTTCCAACTCATTTAGCAAACACTAGAAATTCAAGCTCATCCATAAGAGCAAGATAATTCAGATCAGAACAAGTCCAGCAAGTCTTATAACAGTCAACAGCAAACTTATAACGTTATAAAATTTATGTCATCAGACAATAACTAATTCTTTTAAATACTAAAAACGGTAAAGTAGCACTTGCTTCACACAAAAGAGAAGACGGTTGAAGCATATGTGCCCCCGGTTTGGTGCAGCATAGCATCAATCTCATCTCCATCCTCCATCTCCAGCTGGAAAAAAGGAATCATTACGCCATCAACAACTCCTAAATGCAGATGCATATCAATACAAGTAATTGTTTGTGTATGAGAGAGAAATGAAATGTTACCTCGTCAGGAGTTTGCTCGCCTCGCAGGCGGCGGCCATCAAACAAGAAGGCAATGGAGTTGAAATCCACAGATTGGCGGTCACAGTATGCATTCATAAGCTTCTTCAGTTGTGTGCTTCTTTTGATCCTGAAGAAAACTTCATTCCCGTCCTACAGTCATAATACAATTTAGTCATAATAATAATAATAATAATAAAATTTTGAGGCTTTAATCCAATTAGTTTTACTACAAATCTCAAATTCACTACAAAATATCAACACCTTCAGTCTGGGATAGTTCTAAATTTGATCTCACTTAATATTTTAGTCAAATCAAAGTTTGTTTAAGGCCACATCAACCATTCAATTTCTCAAGCCTGGAAATTTGACAACAATTGAATTATTATTTGTATAGCAAATCCAAAATCCCATCTTTTATCATGTAATTCCAAACTGGATTGCAAGAAACAACAATGAATCTGAGAATACCAGAAATAAGTCCAAGATTGAACAATCTAACATATGCTAACAGACAGCAAAGACAGATGCAAAAAGTCAGCACACTTACAATGACTTCAAGAAACACAACTACAAAGATGCATGAAAAACAGGGTGAAAGTAGTGTTCTTTTGGAAAACAAAAAGAGATTGTGCCATAATTACCTAATCAAGGAATCCTTACAAAAAAGGAAAAGTGGTAACAAAGAACAAACCATATCTTTCAGACCCTAAAGTAAAAACATGTTAAATTAACTACGTAAAAGAGCAAGAGTAAACATCATAACCGCACCTTCAAATTAACATCAACATATAACACTGAAAAGGCAAACAATTATTACACAATTTTTTAAATAACAAAAAAAAAAAAACAGAAATTGACTCTAAATCTCAAACATTAACCTCAGTTATAACAAGAACAAGCCAAAGTAGAAATAACAAGCAAGGGTACTCGGGTTTTCATTCTTTTGCTAAAGTACTCGCCAATAACACTTGTATATGATCCTACGAATATATGAAAACTTTTTTATTTTATTTTTTGAAACAGAGTATGCCCGTGTTTCATGCATACATGTATCCAACAAAACCTCCGAGTTAGGGTAACATACGCAACAAAGAAGAAACTTTGCAACTACCCAATCACCATCTCATTAATTCCAAACCCCAATCGTCACAGACCCAAAATTACGAAATCACTACTTACACATACGAGCATAATTTTCTACATGTGATTAAAAGCAAATAATAAAACAACCCGACAAACTAATTGAAGGTGTGTAAACTCTTTGGGAATACATTTCATCTTCCAACAAAGATAATCGAAGGATACAACCGGAGAACGCGATTAATTGAAGAAAAATTATTTTTTCTTAAAAAAGGCAAATAAACCCTAATAAGAGACCTGGCCTTTGACTTTCAGATTGATGTGAGCGGCAGACTGATCACCGGGCTTCTTATCTTCCTCTTGCTGCCCCGACATTGTTTTCTCGGCGATTTCTGCTTCCTAATCTACTTTAATTTGATCTTCAATCGAGTTAGGGTTTCTATTTTTTCTGGTTTCTATTGCATTTATGGAAGCCCGAACGCAAGGATTCCTTACTGAAGTGGAAAATAATTACTGAATTATTATGAATATTTGTATGTTAGGATTCCTTAATGTTATTTATGATTAAAATATTATATTATATATAATTTTAATATCTATAAATATAAATTTTAGAAAAATATCGTATATAATTTATATTTGAATAAAAAAAATATTGTCAGATCTCTTCTTTAATATTAAGAAGTGACCTAAAAAATCAATAATATTCAATTATTATAAATGAAATATGTTCAGCGAATAAATAGATCAAAGATTTTTTATGTATATAAAATTTTTACAATAATTATTATCGTATTCATTTGTTAATACTATATAAATTCTACATATCAATACAACATAATAAATAATTACATGGGGGGATGGACTTAGGCGGGTCGAGTGAGAGTGATCGCTCTCTAAAAATTTAAAATTATCATTTTAGATTTTATTTATGTATTTTTTATTGAAAATTTGTTTTCACTCTCATTTTATAAATTTAAGTTCACCACTCACATAAAATATTGAGTTCATCACTGATTATATTCTTTAATCATGGATAAAAGTAATTTCATATTCATTAATTATATTAAATCAAGTAAGAAGTCCACCAAACATTATACTGGGAATGTTGTTTTACCTTATTTGATTTTAAGCAGGAATGTAAGATTACAATGTTGATCGTAGAAATTTTGTTTTCTCTCGGCTGCTCTGATCGCTTTTTAGGGTTTTTCCCTTTTTTAGTCAAAGGAAGAGTTTGATTGTTTTCCCTTCATCACACGTATCAAATTAGCAAGTGAATTCGAGTTATTAACATCGATCATGGCAGAGTTAAAGTACACGCAGGAGAATTAGATATTGGAGAAGACGAGGAGGAGACCATATCAATTGAACAACAATAAGCGGATGGAGGAATAACCTTTGAAAACTATTTTGTGGGGCTGTTTTTAACTGCTAGTTTGGTGAATTTTCAAGCAATGAGAATGATACTCGTGAATGTTTGACGACCAATAAAAGGCATATCCATCATCGAATTGGGAGAAGAGAGATATCCTTTTCGCCTATATCACGAGATGGATGTCGACAGAATAAAAAACGAAGGGTCCTGGTATTTTAATTCACACATCTTGGCATTCCACAAGTTGCAACAAGGAGAGGACTCAAAAACAGTACCACTTCACACAGTCAATTTTCGGGTGCAAATCAATGACCTACCAACAAGCCTCATATGAGAACACATCACAAGGTAATTGAGGATTTCATTTGAAAATTTATATCTTATGACACGACAACGGTCTCTTTAGGTTATAACGAGTATTATATTATTTCTGTGGAAAACTGGGACATGGAGAGAGGTTCTGTGTCCTATCAGATTGGTGAAAGACCAAAAAGAACTAGTTCCACTATGGGATGCATCCCTTAAAGCACCACCGAGACAAAAAGCGTTCTAAACGAGTCATTGGCTCAAAGAGGAGGGACCCCCAAGAACGAAGAGGGTGGATGACGAATAACAGTTTAAGACATGAGCGGATAATGGAAAGATTTCTTTGGATCATAAAGGCACACAAGTTAACAGTGGAAGTAAACAAAAACCACAGCTGCACGTCGGGGCAATAGGGTGGGTGAATCCTATCATAAAATACTTCTCTACAATCAATATGGAACAACCGACAACCAATCAGGGGTTTGACACTGAGATGGTGGGAATAGAGGAAGATTCACCTATGGAAAAAGTAGAGGGATTGAAGACACAACGACAATCATATTCAACAGTTTCGAGTTTGACGCAACAAGATTCCAAGAACGACAACAACATAATATCGACAGGCTTAAGAAACAATGGCAGCTAGATGCAATGAAACTATTAAACTGGAACATCCAAGGTTTGGGTAGGCCTCATACGGTTAATCATCTTCGACACATGCTAGGAGACATTAACCCATATGTAGTTTTCTTCTGAGAAACAAAACTGTAGAGTTCACAAATGGAGAAAGTTCGAAGATCTGTGGATTCCCAAGTGGGATTGAGGTTGACTTACGAGGCAACAATAGAGGATTATTATTGTTCCGATCACCGCTCATTATTAATGGATACGGTGGGGGAAGAAGAACGTCATTGACATTTTAAATTTGAAGCAGCATGACTTATGGAAGAGTCATGTGTCTCAAAGGTCGAGTGTATGGATATCAAACCCAGGGACAATACTGAAAAAGCACAATCGAATCAGAGAGGGTCTGGATGTGTGGTTTAAAACAATCTGAAAGGAAAAGGGTTAATTGAGAGGGAATTGAAGATGAGATTGAGCGAATTAATAGAGATTGAACCCAGTCAGGATATCTTAGGAGAAATTTTCGAAGTGAAACTACAGATGAACATGGAGGCAGACAAATTCAAAATTTATTGAGAGTAGAGAGCAAAGGCGAATTGGTTAAAGAACAGAGACAACAATACTAGCCTTTTTATAGGTTTGTGTCTCAATGAAAGAAACAGAAAGAAGTTACTTCTCTAGTAGATGAGGAGGGAGAGAAGTGGGAAGATGAAATATCCATTTAGAGTATTACTAAAGGCTACTTTGAGAAAATGTTTAAAATAGACTTGGAAAAAGTTGATAATACATTTTTTTTTTTGAAATAGGATGAGAATCATTGAAGACATTAATGAAATCCTATAAAAACCATTCTCCTACGAAGAAGTGACCAAGACAATCAAGTCAATGAGTCTAACAAAAGCATCTGGGAAAGATAGACTGAGAGCAGTGTTCTACCAACAATCTTAATACATTGTAGGTCAGGAAGTGACTAATTATTGTATCGATCTTTTAAACGGATGGAGGATATGGTAGCAGTCAACCAGATGTATATTGTGTTGATACCCAAAGCGAAAAAAACCCAACTGAACGACTCAATTTCGGATGATCATTCTACGTAATGTCATTTACAAAATAGTCTCAAAGATGGTGATTCACCGAATGTAGGACCATCTCCACCTTTGCATCGACGAAACTCATAGTGCGCTTGTTTAAGGGAGATTAATCACAGACAACATCATCACTACTTACGAAACTCTACACTCGTTTATAAAGTAAATACCAGGAAAAATATTATTTTTGCGCTAAACCTGCACATGAACAAAGCTTATGATAGGGTTGAATTGCAATTTGTGTGGCAAATGATGAAAAATTTAGGCTTCTCTGATCAATGGAATGGTGGGGAACAGTTCACACCCCAAAGAGGTCTGAGACAAGGCGATCTTCTAAGCCCTTGTTCCTATTACGTAGTTAATCTCTTTCGTCCTTTTATGATAGGCATCAGAGAGGGATTCCTTGAAGGGAGTTAGAATTAACGGATACACTCTTAACTATATCATCTCTCTTTTTTGTTGAAGATTGCTTAATATTTGGAGAGGTGACAGCGGGAGTGACAGGAGAATTAAAAGACATACTTCGAATTTATGGTAGAAACTTAGGTCAATTAATAAACTTTGAGAAAAGTTCCAATGTAAGTGATTCGAATAGAGGGGATGTCCGATGTATCATGAAAGATTATTTAGAGTTTAAGGGGACTGTTAGAGACAGAAATTCGTTGAAAAGTGTAGAATGGATCAAATATCTCAATATGGAGTAATTATCGACTATCAGGTAAGAAACCACGAAAGGTAAACACACCGAAAAAATAAAGAATATAAAAAGTGTCTGAATTACTTAACCTGACCATAAAACAATGGCGAGAAGATGTAATTGATAAGATTTTTCTCAATTCAGATGCAATAGAAATTAAATTCATCTCAATCTCAACATTCGAGCAATAAGACGTCCAGGTGTGAAGTGACGAACATATAGAGGTTTGCACGGTGCGTAGTACTTACCAAATGCTATTAGAGAGAAACAAATTCAAAATCTAACGCTACAGTTTTTCAAAGGTTATGTTCATGTGAACGTCAGAGAAAAATTAAAATCAATGCATGAGAACACTAACACAACTGTGTACCAACAAGACAGATGATATATAACAAGCACATCACAAACAACCCACACTGTCCACTATGTCCAAACCAAGTAGAATCAAGTATACACATTCTAAAGGATTGCTTTCTTGCTCAAGCAGTCAAAATTACATTACCTTTGGCCTTAGCAAAGCACAAAGTGCGGTTTCAAGGAGTGGTTGAAATAGATTTTTGACAACACCTCAAGCGGAAAACAAGTAGAAGTATTAATATGGACTTAAACACTATAGTTCGCTCGAAACATTAGGATGTATGAAGAAAACGACACAAGAAACGATGACGTAGCTACCTTAGTGCGAAGCAAAACTCAAGAATATGAACAGGTGAACAACAGAACTCTTGGACCTCAACCACGCACTACAACGAGATAGTCTCCACCTCCCCAAACATGATGAAAGTGAACTATGATGTATGTTCAAAAGATCAGAGTACAAAAGTTGGTCAGGTGTCGTTATCAGGAATAATTTAGGGCTTGAAATGGGAGCATGCAGAAGACTTACTCCAAGAATTTCAATGGTGTTCACAGTAGATGTCGCGACGGGACATGCAATTCAGCTAGCAAAAGACCTATATTTTAGTCGAGTAATTATACAAGAGGATTCCTGATCGGTGACAGAGAAGCTAGTCTCGTCAAACTCAGACAATTTTGATATAAGTGCCCTCATATGGAAAGCGAAACAAAGGGCCAAATCATTTCACCACCGCGAATTTAGTTTTATCCCCCGTGAAGGGACAGAGTGGCTCATTTAGTGGCTACAAATCCAGAAGAAAGAAAAGAACACTGCGGGGTTAAGGAATTTCCAAAGAAACCCACAAGACAGGCTGCAGAAGACAGAAAGTGGATAGACCCACATTAGATTCTTCGATGGAGGAAAGCGGAGAATGTCGATTAAATTTCTTGCATCTTCTTATAGAAAGTGTGGCATTCGAAGCATTTTTTCTGTAAGGTTAGTAAGAAGAAGGACCAAACAATTTAAGTTACCTTTTGTTTTTGTCTTTTAGGAAAGGTATAATATTTGTACAAAGACGAAACGTTTTGATTTTTTTAATATGTTTAAAAATAAAACCACAAAACGAGTATCACAAAATAACAATTAATTTATAATGTTTGTATTTACTTTAAAAAAATTTAGATAAATCTAATAGGATATGCTTAATAAATAAGTATTTATAATTCACAAATTCATAATTACACACATATTAAATCATAATTAGTACATATGCCATATCGACTCTAAACTTATATGATAACATTAGGTCCAATGTGACTTTAGAACAAATATTAAGGTAATTAATAAATACATTTAGTCGGTTAGTTAGGTTGTTCATCTTTGTTCCTCAAAATCGTTTAGATTATGAGTTTTAGAATCAGTAAGAGCACACCCTGCTTTTCGTAAAGTCATCTCTTCTCCTCTTCTCTTAGTAGTATTAGAATTCGATTTAGATTTATCAAAAAAAATATCATGATAGTTTTTTTAATATTTAGTATATTTATATATTTACAAATTCCCAACATGCATCTCATTCACAATTACATAATTAATATTGTATTCAATACTTGATTATATTAATCGAACAACTTATAAATTCATGAAATAAGAAATTAATATTAATTTATTATTATTTTTGGATTAATATTAATATTATTTATACAAACGTAAAATTAAAATTCTTAATTGGTAGTTTTCTTATTACGTTTATAAACACATTTTTCTATATAGTTGAAGACAGTTCTTATTTGTTTGAAGAAGTTAAGCAGTTATAACATAAAAATGAAAACAATGGTGGAGAATATTGGAAAGTTAACCGGCTTGAACTTGATAACTTGTTGTGTATCTAGCAATGGCGATCCACCACTCCTCTCTTATCAATTTTCCGCCGCATGAAGGAATGGTCAACAAAATCTGAATCGTCGTTATCATGTTAGAATTTTCCGTTATTCTCCATCATTACCATAAAAATCCCACATTCCCATCCAATGGAATATCATAATTTTCTGAGAAAAGAAAAGAAAAGAAAAGAAAATTATCGATCTTTAGCTTTTCTGGGTTCCTTTTTTTTTCCCCTTCCCGAGTGTCAACAATGCCAAGCAAGTTAAAGAGGGCAATTGGGGCAGTGAAAGATCAAACGTGCATCAGCCTAGCCAAGATTGTTAACACCAACTCCTCGAATCTCGATGTGGCGGTTCTCAAGGCGACGACTCGCGATCCCGAGCCTGCCGACGAACGTTACGTTAATGAAATCCTTCAAACGATCTCATCCAACAAGCTCAACGCTGCGATTTGCGCCAAAGCCATTGCTAGAAGGATCGGGAAAACGAAGAACTGGGTTGTTGCCCTCAAATCATTGATGCTCGTTCTTCGGATTTTTCAAGACGGTGACCCTTTTTTCCTCAGGAAGTGCTGCATGCCAGGAACCGTGGGGCGAAGATTTTGAATCTCACCACCTTCGAAGATTACTCCCATTCGAGCCCTTACGATTTCACGGCCTTCGTTAGGGCGTTTGCGTTTTACCTTGATCAGCGTTTGGATTGCTTTATCACCGGGAAGCTTCAGCGGATACTTTCGAACAAAGAGAAGCAGAGTAGCGCTCGACGATGCCGTCGTGTAAACCAACAACCTGTTCGAGAAATGAAGCCGCCGATGTTGCTAGATAGGATCTTGTATTGGCAACGGTTGCTCGATAGAGCCATCGCCACGAAGCCGACGGGTGCGGCCAAGAATAACCGGCTGGTTCAGGTATCTCTTTACGCCATCCTCCAGGAAAGCTTCGATCTTTACCGGGACATCTCCGATGGACTCGGTCTTCTGTTGGATAGTTTCTTCCATTTGCAGCATCAATCGTGCATCAATGCGTTTCAATACTGTGTCAAAGCAACGAAACAGTTCGAAGAGCTTTCATCGTTTTATGATTATTCTAAGGAGCTTGGAATTGGTAAAAATTCGGAGTATCCGAGAGTGCAGCAGATATCCGAAGAGTTAATGGAGACATTGCAAGAATTCTTGAAAGACCAAGCTTCGTTTCCTTCTCAAAATTCACGTTGCTTGCCTTTTACTTCACCTGCCGATGATCCTGAAGAACCACAGCATGGTTCGAGATGCATATTATTGGAAGATTTGATGTGTCAAACAGATTGTGATGAACCTATATGCCCATCTTTCTCGCCTGGGCATTTTTCGGAGGCGGCCAAGGAACAATGCCATGAACAAGATGATATGTACAATGTCCACGAAACTGGTTCGAACCATTCACTGCCTATTCACCATGAGTTTTGGATGACTAGAGATTTATTATCGTTCGACGATTGGCTGTCGAGTGATAATAAATCCCAAGAGCTACAAAGTTCAACTACGGCTAATTCTAATAATGATGGCGACCCTTCATTTGACAACCGGTTTCAACAAGATCATGAACAAGATCAAGCTTCTGAAAATGGAGCTGATGACTATCAACATGTAGGAAATGGCCGCTCCTTGTTCCTTGACGATTGGCTCCGGGAAAATAGAAAGGAACCTGATGAACAGCAGAAAGATTTGATACTGAATTCGAGCAATGATGGTTACAAGGAAGGATGGGAGCTTGTGTTTGCTGAAACCACAACACAACCTGCACAAGCTTCTCAACATTTCGCCTCAGGAACTGATCAAAAACCAATAGTACCTCAAGGCATAGACAATCCATTTCTTGAAGACGAAGCAGATATATCAGTATCCATTAAAACCACTGCTATCAATTCCTCTACAGCTTTGCCCGATGAGTTCTCGATGGCACCGACATTTCAGGCAGCACCACCGACTTTCTTTGCTCAAGGTCCTAACGACATTGCCAGTCCAACGTTTCAGGCAATGCCGACTTCTCTTTCTGAGGATCCTAATAGCACAACAGAAGCGTTTCATGACAACGTATACGATGACCCTTTCACCCTGTGGCCTGCCATGGAAGCTAGCAATAATGCTTCTTTTAATGGGTTGGATGAGCAGCAAAATCTGTTACTTCAACAACAGCTGAGGTTGCAGAACCAAGACATGATTCTGAATAAAAATGTCATACCCGATATTTAATTACCATTGTACAACAATCTTACTATAGTTGGGTCATTTTTTTTCTTTGGCTTGTCAAGATTATCAAATCCAACATGGAGAAGCATTTCTTTTCTCCTCATAGTGAGGCAAGTATTGATCAGCAATGGCTGTTTTCTGGGCAGATTGATCTAATTACAGAGTTAACAAGAACACATACAGCTGCAATGGTAGCATTGCTTTTCTAATTAACTTTTGCTGCACTCGTCAGTTCTGATCAACCCAAAACCACATCCTTCAATTGTAACATGAACTTCTAATTCTTCCGAACATGAATTAATTCAAATTTGAATTAGCCAAAATCCGAAACAATTAAAAGTGAAGATAACTTAAAATGACTTGAATCGAAAGACTCAAGTCTCAGATTCGAATCCAATATAATCTGAATCCGAATTAAAATTATCTAAAAAAAAATAAACCTAAAATAACCCAATTCTAACTCAAGCCGAATCAATATGACCCAATTCTTTACAGGTCTAAAGGTTTTGGGCTCAAGTTGGCTGCAAAAGACGTGAGCTTAACTAGTCCACATCTGCCTATTAACCCTTCCTTTGAGAGCACTCAAACCTCAATACCGATCAGAGCATAGAATCCAGAAACGCAGGGCGAAGAATAAGAAGAAGAAACAAAAGCAAATGGTGAACAAAGCATGGAAGATCATTCCAAGGCCTTTACTTGAAACAATCCTCAACAATCACGCCCAACACCACTGTGTCCCTCAGCCCCTCATTCTCCACGGCCCCCGTGGCGTCGGCAAAACCACTCTTATCCTCGACCGTACGCTCCCCCTTCCCCTCAAATTCATTTTATAAGGAAATAATCCGTTTATTTTCTTCTTTTTCCAGGTCTTCTTGGTGAATGGAACGAAGGTCCTCACTTAACCGGCTATGTCGACTTCGCTCAATCCATTAAAGACCACCATCCCAATTTCGATGGCTCATTTCCTTGGTATTCTTGGTCCTCCTGTGAGTTACCGTCTTTATCCAGCTGCCGAACCCAGCTCGAGAACTGTCTCGAATCTATCGCTCATAAAGGCATCAAGCTTGGAACCATAAGTTCACATCAAATCTTTACTACTCTAAACAAATTGCACGGTATTAACACTGCCCTTCGCCGGATACTTAACCAAAACGCTTCTAAAACTGCTATTTCTGATAAGATTTCCAGCTCGGGTTTGTGTGATCGTGTCCTTTTTGCTTTATCTGCTAGATATAATGCCTCGGAGATTGATGGGGTTCTGGATTTTCGAGAGAGTGGGAAGACTTTGTCTATCGACGAGGCTTCTTATTTTAAGGAAGCAGTTGTGGCGTTGAGATTGGCTAAGGAGGTGATTAAATTGCAGCAAAAGTGGAGAGCTAATGCCATTTCTGATTTGAATAGGAGTGTACGGTTTTCGAGGTCGCTGGCAAATTCATGTACTGATTGGCCTTGTTTGTTGCTTGAGTTGATCTCTCAAGCTGCTGAGATTGACCATTTTCAGGTAGCATGTTAACTATAAAATTTTGAGCGAATTTTGTTTATCGCTTTAAGTGGATTGTAGATTACAGTAGTATTTTGTTTAAATTGGGCAGCCGAAGTTGGTCATAAATAATGTTGAAATTCTTCGGAATGCAATGTTGACTGAAGAGACATCGGTGTGTGGATCAATGTACCATGACAGTTTGATTTGGAGAATAATTGCTTTAGGAGCAAATGAGCGATGCCTGCCTGTTATACTTGTGACGTCAGATAGGTTAAGATATCAAGCCTTGATGTTTATTCTATGCTAAATGTTTCAATTTTGTGCAAGTTTCAGGTCGAGTTTAGACTTCTCAATTTTCCTCAATTATCTGATTTGGATTTTTGTTAAGCTCAGTAGTTCAGGGATATACTGCAACAACACACGAAATGTTTAAAATTTTCATAATTACAGCTTTATAATGCTTGTATCCGTGGAGATAGTGACAACTGAGATACAACTCTTACATGCTGTTATTTGATGGTTAGCTTTTACATAATTACAGTCTTATGACATATTAATTAAGAGAATGGCAAAGATTTCTTCCCGTGTTGTATTTCTTGGAACTTTCACAATGCTGATATTTATACCTTTTTCTCTAATGAAAAGCCTTTCCAACTCTTTTATGCTTACTTCTAATGTCTTAGTACTGACAAATTCTAATTTTCTCAGCTACTATTCATATCAAGCTTTCATGGATTTTGGGTTTCCAGATATATTCGTCTCTCGTGAGGTACTCAGAAAACTGTATATGATACTTATTTCACATGCACATGCTTTTAGTTTCACACACACACATGGCCTTGAAGCATGTTGGTGTGTATTTGGAATGCTTGTAGTTTCATGGATTTTGGGTTTCCAGATATATTCGTCTCTGTGTTTTTCATTCCGTTGGCATTTAATGTTTTCACTTTTTATATTATAAAATGAAGTGATGCTAATTTTTTACTGTCATTACAATTTGTTTGATTTGTGCAGACCTTTGGTTGGACTCCACAAGAAGCTAAAATGCACATGGTTACTGATTACTTCATCCATTCCGAGGTGAGAATTTATTTGTTAAGATAGCATTGCTTCAACATAACATTAGGAAACTTTGTCATAAACAGAAAACAAGGGAAAGCCATAACTCAAACCTGCATCAAATTTTATGTTTAGTTCTTAACAGTCTGTAGAGGGCTCATCCCCTTCAAAACCTTCTATTAGAATCTTGAATTAGTGACGTTATGGCAAGTTATAAGCTTACCTTATTCTCATTGCAGTGGATGGTGATTGATGATGTGCTTGGGCCAAACCCTCGACATCTATTTGAGCTTTATGTGCTTAAACAAAGCAATTATTACCAAAAGTAAGAATGTTTCCTGTTCGGTTTGTTGTATTATTATCTCATAACTTATGCACTCCAATGGTTTCAAAAACTAAAAGTTGAAAGTTGCCTGTTCCTAGATAAAGTATGTTATTAAAGTCTGCGGTAATGGTGGTCTCTATTCCAGTGTGTTTGTTGTTGCTGAATCTCATTGTGTCTCAGTTACTTTTAAGCTTTCTTTGTGGTTATAAGTGAATGCTTTCGTTCAGGATTAACAACATATGAATTTAAAAAAGAAATTTTAAATGTTAAAATTTTGATGTGGGTAATTTATGTTAAATACAACCATTTCTTCTTTGCTAGTCAAAATCAATGTTATGCACCATGCATTTTGTTAAAACTTATTTTCTTCAATGATAGGTTGATGGACAACGAGGCAAGTACATTTGAAGATATTGTGGATGCATATTTAGCGTATTTGCAAGTAAGCTTCACGAATTGAAAGCATTTTTTATACTCTATCCTTAAAATCTTTTGGGCCAATGTGCTATCATTACTTCCAGGTTTTAAATTTATCCGGACTGGCTAATAGACATTATTTGAACCTGCTGCATTAATAAAAATCAGTTATAAACTTTATATTTTACTATGAAAATCAAATAAAAACCAATGACTACCAAGGTGGATTCTGTAGCCTGGTTTGAGTTCAAAGCTCAGTTCCTTTCTCAGATTCTTTCAGCTGTCATTTTTTAGATTAACGTGGGAATCCTTCTATAGCATTGGTGCATTATAAATGATTTTTGTTCTTAAAAAAATACAAAGATGTTAGAAATTGTGAACATTTAAAAAAATTGTTAAAAGGCTTATGATACTGTTCATTGTTTTGAGGTATGTTATTTTGGTGTTGTGCTGCTTCTCATATATATATATATATATATATATATATATGCGTGTGTGTGTGTGCATTTATTTACCATTGCTGTCTTGAATTCTTTGCTATAATCATTTTTAGGCTACTGTTGTCAATCCTTCAATGGATAAAGCATTGATGATCCTGCAAAAATTTGCCATTGATGCTCAAAGTGGAGAGATTTTAGAAGATAAATTGCGTTTTGGTGCTCCTTGGAGACACCCTCCATCATCCAACAACCCTGCTAAACTTAAGGAATGGGCAAAGATTCAACTAATGGATTTTGTTCAATCTCTAGTTAATGCAGAATTTGGTGTAAGTGTCCTTCAGCATTCTACACTACTTTTAAATATCTATTCAACTGTTTTTTGTGCTTATATTTTGGTGGAATTTTGCTGACCATAAATATTGGAATTCCTAAGATGACCAATTCTACTCTAAATTTTGTAGTTCATTTTTCATTTTGGGATTAAGTTTCCATATCCTTGTTGATGTTGTGAACTTTCATGATTTTGCTCTGTTTGCCTCATAAAGGTTGGCTTCAATTTTATTACCACTTTTCTGTTTTTTGCTATCAGTTATCTGACTTACCAAACGTACATCAGGCATATTCTTGTTTAAATTCAATGCATCACTATAACCATTATAATTTTCTTATATAAATGTGACAAGGGCCACTCTACCTGTTGCAGATTGTTTTTGGTTGGATCCCCCCTCTCCCCATTTGTTCTTTCCTGAATGATAGGTTTTTTGGTATAAGATGCAAATACACAATAGGGCTGTCTTGCCAACATGTGACGTTCATGACCTGTGATAGGTCCTTGTCACCCTACACATGAGGGGGAGTATTAAATTGGTGATACTGTTAAATCTTGCATCAGTTTTGTTGGGGACTCCTTAGCACATAAATATAACAAGGGCCATTTATATATAAAATATGGTATTTATTCATGTATTAAGTAATTTTTGTTTCCTCCTTATTTGGGTTATACAGGTTAATTATCTAGCTGACTGCAGCCTAGAGGTCTTGGATGATCCAGCTGCTGTTGCATTAGTGGAGGTATATCTTTTTGCATTTTTTTGTTTGTTTTATTACTTTGTTTTGATTCAGTTATAATTTTAATTCTTTTTGCCAAGTCTAACATTGTCAAATTATCAAAAGTTGCAGTAGAATTAAGTTCCTTGGTAGGATTTGATTTCTTACTCTTTTTCCCAAATGCATCTGCCTATAACTTTTGCCAAATAATTTTGAACACATGTATTGAGAATGTGATTTTGTAAACAGACAACGTGTTATATAAATATGTTTGTAAATTGATCATGTGTGGCTTTAGGAGCCACATGTTTAGTATATATGCAAAAGAAACTACTTTCATACTTTTGAGAACTATCCCTTTATTAGGTTGGCTTGCTCTATGCTCAAAGGGATCCCTCTTTATTTCGCCCCATCTCTAAAGGTATTCAGAGGTGTCTTGCAAGATGGTAAGTGAGAGAATGTACCCAAAAAAAGGAACATGAGTGTTATTGTTTGAGTGTCTTATGCTCAAACATCTGAATCTTGAATTACAGGCTTGTCCAGGAGTGCATGCTGTTGAGTTACCAAAACTTGCTTCAGTATATCTGGCAGCGGATTATACGTGGTCGTAGCTACCGTCATTTGATGCTGCAAGTGGGCTATGATAAATACTAGAAAATAGGAGAGGATGCAGCACATATCAATCCAAGTACTAATCTGTTTTTACAAAGCCTTGAATCTATTAGGATTTATGTTGTAGCTTTCATGTCATAATAAGGAACTATCATCATTTTTCAGGATCGTCTTGGCATAGATGTTCAAAGCTTCACATGAAATGTATGTAAATTCCTTATCTTTAATCATTTTATTTTTGTATTTGCCTGACTGAATTTTATTCACATTCATTGGAGTTTCTCTGTTTTTATCTGATAACAACTCTTTCTGACATAATTTACATATGTTCATAACTCTGCAGTTGAGCCCTACTGTTGTACAAGTTCCTCATCTGATTTTCCATATATTCCTACCCTAACAGCTTCATTTATCAGTGTTAATTTACTACACGGGGACATGTAGTAAATATGTCAAAGCTTCAACATTATTGTAAGATTTACTTTTCCTTGTTTGACTCGTTGATTCACTTTTGAGATTATAGTTAAAGTCATTCTTTTGGCTTTTTTAAAGTTAAGTGTGCATTTTTGCACAATATACAAGTGATTTTGATGCACTTTTAAGTATTTTCTGTATTCTAAAATGGTGTCGATGAAAACTCCAATTACATTATTTTTGTTATATTGCCATGTAGATTACTACATCATACTAAATTGGTTTTTCATGTATAGGTTATAGTCCAACATGGCTGCCATTTCTGTGGGATTGAGAATGAGAACTAAGAATTTGACTCAACTAATTTGCATATACATTTTCTACGAGAGACAAGTTTTAGTACGTAAAAAGGTGAGCAATTTTTTTAATGCGAACATTATGATTTAGATAATTTTGAGTGTTGCTTTTCTTGAAGTTGTCAATGTGAATTGCAGCATTAGTTCCCTTAATGGATTGTGCGACTGCTGTGTCATGTTGTCTGCAAGCTTATCCCTCCTTGAAAATGGCAGCTCGGGGTGATCCCGATTCTTGTTTGTTGCTAAGATATATCTATTTAATCCCGAACCGTTTCCAAGACATTCTCGTCCAATATTCATTTATTTGTGTTGCTAACTTGCTATTCCATTTAACAGTTCATAAAAGTATGACATTCATCTAAGGGTACTCATTTTACATGGTGAGAGCTCCGTAATTGCATGTAGTTTGTTTAGTTTCTTTCCATTATCAGAATGAATTGTAGCTATTGGAACTGGGGAAGTTGGTCTCTTTCTGTTCTGGGCCTTCATCCGCGCAATAATGCGTAGGAACAAAGAAAAGGCTCTTTGCTTGACTTTAAAAGTTTCATGGTGATAATGATAATTATTACATGTTCTGCTTCTGCTTCTAGTTCTTAGTTTTTTGTTTTGTTTTTCAATCACAAGCGAGGATTTGAACACCTTTTTATCAAGCTGGATAGTAGAGGGATTTGAACCTTTCTTTGGGATGAGATGGTACGAGCACATCTAATTGTTGAATTAAAATCTAAGAGTAAATTATGCATTTAGTATCTAAACCATCAATTTTGATCTGTTTTAGTATTTAAATTTTTATTTGTTTTCAAAATCATACTTAAAATTTAGTTTATGTTTCTTTTAGTATCCCGTCGTTAAAAATTTTAGTTTTTTTTTTTTCATTTTAGCATCTCATTCAAAATTTAATGTTAAGTTTTGGAAGAAAAAAATGAAAGTTTAGATGTTAAAACGGACCGAGATTGATAGTTTAGATACTAAATTTGTTTAAGTTTTTAACTGCGAGATATTATAATGAAATAAAAATTTATGTATGGTTTTGAAAAAAAATGTTTAAGTATTAAAATTGATTAAAATTAATAGTTTAAGTATTAGATGTGTAGTTTACCCTAATGTTTGATTTATGATTGACATCATTTAATAAGCATATATATATATATATTAAATTATAATTAATTTAAGATTTTCTAAATGTATATGATTTTAAGTGGATATGGATATAAAATCTAAGTGTAAATTAGCACTTAATCATTAAATACATTAAATTTATTTTATGATTGAAAAAAACTATATACAAACAAAATTGTGTTTCTTTGATTTATTATTTATAATATTTTAAATTTATATTCAACTTATAAACATAGAATAAATAAATACGATTTAGTCAGTTTAATAAAACATTAATTTTATGTCTGGTCATTATTATTTAGTTTATGTTGTAAATTGATGTTTGTCGAATTAGACGATAATTCAATAAGTCTTTAAGTGATTTTATATGTACTGAATTTCTATTTAAAAAACTACGTACAATTAAATAGGTAATTTAAATTCTATCATAAAAATTAAGTAATTTAAATTTGATTATCTCTCGGCCCTTTGCTGACAAAGGTAATTTAAATAAAAACTTAATTAAGATAATATAATTAAGATAATATTTCATTCAAATGTTCATTTCATTATCTCTTAATTCAATACATATAATTTATTTTTTTAATATAAACTTCCTTATTTTAAGGATCTAAAATTCAAGCACTAGTATTTAATGATACTATGATAAAGTTTGAATAATGTAAAATTAAACAATGCATCAAATATAAATTTTATTTATCCTTTTTACGAATCAAGCGATTTAATAGTTAAGGAAGTATTGTTATTTTTTGAGGTCATGAGTTCGAGCATCATGTATAGTGGGTGAGTGTTCGATTGAGTTGAGTTGAGTCAAAAAATTTCAAGTTATTCTATTTGACGAGTTTTATTTTATAACTCGGAATTGACTTGAAATGTTTTCGAGTCTAGTCAAAATTTTTAGTTTCTATTTAAATTTAATTGTAAATATTTATAATATTATGACATTACTTGATTTCAATTTAAATGGTATTTTATAACCATATACAATACATATATTTTTTTTGTATTTCTTTCATATGTGATTTACATATATCATACAAAGTCGAGGGACTCGACTCAAACTTGAAAATCAATATACTAATTACTAAAAGTTTGACTTATTCGAGTTGTATTTTACAACTCGATTTGAACTTGATTGTTTTTAGTTGAGTCAAGTTTATGAAATTACAACTCAAAATCAAATCGCGTTGAGTTTTTCAAGTCGAGTCGAGTTTTGCTTACCCTAATGTATACAAGAGTCAAGGGTATGAGTAATAAATGTTAAATGATTAAAAATCTTTAAATAAATACTACCGTGTAATTACCTAGAAAAAAATTATTTCCATTTGAGTTTTTGTAAGAAAATTACAGGGTCAATGGGATTGTGGGAAATGTGCAGAGATCTTTTAAAGGAAACTAAACCAACGGTTTTGATTAACAGATCTCTGACCCGCAATCAAAGCGGAACCACACTGTAAAAGTTGTCTGTCAATCATCCTTTCAGATTCAAACATTGAAATCGGAGGGAAATGAAAACAATACATAATATTTATTTATTATTTATTTAACTATTTTCTTACAACGGGAGAGTGAAGAAACTACCTTCTTTTCCGGCTATTTTCAAATTACAGAAGCTCTGAACCAGGAGGCTCCGTCGAAAACGTCTATGCTCCTTAAGCCAATGGCCGAAGCCCTAAGCCCTAACCCTAGGCATCGGATCTCTATGGCTGCTCGCATCCAGTCCCCAACAAGTCCCTTCTTCTTGGGCTCTAACGACGACAAACTCGAGCGTGCGCAGGCTCGAGCCGCACGCGCCGCAGCTAGCCGCCGCAAGGCCGTAATTCGCGATGCTCAGCCTCCGACTGATCCTGATCTTTGCCTCGATAAAGATCAGATTCTCGAGTTGTTCCAAAATTGCATCAAATTGGCCAGTGAAAATGTATCTTATTCCCGTTTACTCTCTCTATTTCAATTATTGTCATTATAGGAAGATATGGAGTTTTTCTTTGTAGATTTCTGTAAATAAATTTTATAATCTGTGCATTATGTTCCCCCCCCCCCCTCAAATTAAGAAATTCGTAAGTGGTAGCATTTGAGTTCTGCTGGTTGCATTGTTCTATTGTCATTTTATGTGTATTTTTTTATGGTGCAGAAAATTAATCAAAAGAATACTTGGGAGCTGAATTTAATAGATCATCTTCGCGACATTATCATGGTTGAAGAAGAAAATGATGTGGAGACGAACTTTCAAAAGGTATGTCTAGTGTTTTTTTTAGGTTTAATATGGTAGATAGTAGAATAAACAAGATGTTGAATAGTCTCTGAGAACAAAATCGATCAAAGAATTCCTAGGCTAATGTTGGGGACTATAATAGGTGGTTTAAGTAAAGAATATGTTTCGCCCTTATTATTATTTCCTTTTAGTTACTACTAATGTTATTACCATCTTATTAGCAAATCGATGCTTAGACTGAAAGTTTGAAGTTACTTATGTTGTTCTGGAACAATACATCTGCATTTTCAACTGTAAGTGAGTCAGACTGTGAGTACCTGCTGTGTAAATGTTGAGCTGAACCGGTTGCGAAAGACCTGGAAAACTGTTATATCCTTGTTGACTGTCCTGTTCATATATTTTGTCGTTTCATAATTATGTTTAGAGTTGTATATTTACAGAATTTGTTATACATCAATTAGTTCGTTTAGACAGATTTTCATATAGTTGTGTATTTGTGTCTGTGTTTAATATTTGCTAAGTCTAGTTACAACTGTGAAAGCCAAAACTGTCAGAAATATTTGGAGAAAAGGCCAAACACTCTAGATTGATTAATTTATGATATTACCATTGTTCCCTCATGTTCAATGAATAAGTTGCAATATATTTTGCACAGGTCAGTTGTACTTTGGAAGCTGGTGTTAAGATTTACTCACTGAGGGTGGATTCAGTTCATTCAGAGGCATACAAGGTTCTCGGTGGGATAAACAGAGCAGGTTATGAAAATGAGCGAGGTTAGAAGTTTTTTTGTGCTGGTACCTACCTTATTTCTCTCTATCACTTTTTGTATGTCTGATTTTGAAATTTAGCGATCTAAGCTTTCTGTTGAATTTGCTTTTCTTCGGATTAGCTTCTTGGTTTTTTAAACCTGTTAAATAAAGGAGCAGGCTATGCTAAGGGCATAATATGCTCTATTGCTCGGCATGAAAGGTAAGAGGTTATAAAAAGGCATGATATGTTAAACATTTAATAAATTTTACCATCATTGTTGTTGTTAAACTGTTTGGACCTAACTGATCATATTCTATAAATATACATATCTGGTAGATAGTAGATAAACCAGATGAGTTATTCCACCTATGCTATCGAAACATATGCATTTGGACCAACTTCAAGTTCTAGAACCTCAACTGATGCAGACTAATCAATAAGCTTTTTCATGGAAAGAAAAATAGGTTATCATCAGATTTCTATCCATTGACTTGCTCAGCTTTATCCTGCCTGATTTTAGCTAAATGTGTTGTTGTCACGATGCCAGATTCTGTGATGGAGGATAACAATGCTGCTACTGCACAGAAAGGCAATCCAAAGAAAGAGTTAGAGAAAAAGGTTTCTGGTCTTTAAATTCAACGAAATTTCTATCTCAAACAATTTATTAATGGTGTCTATATATGCAGATGTCACCTTTATCAACATTGGAATCTTCTTTTGAGGCTCTTAATGTAAAAAAAATTGATGGTAATCACACATACCAACAATCTTGATTCCAGTATGAGGCTCAAGCTTTGATTATGACACTATCTGTTTGTTTTCAGTTGCCTTTGCTGTGGATCCTCTATACCATCAAACCTCTGCCCAATTTGATGAAGGTGGAGCCAAAGGTCTTTTGTTGAATAATCTTGGTGTTTATGCTGGATGTCGGGTTCTCTTTGATTCATTTGAAGTGCCAGGGAGGGAAATACCTTGTTCAAATCAACACGATGTATCTGAAACAATTGATTTATCTTTTGCTGAAGGTTTGATTTTGGTTTTCTCTGGCTTGTTTTGACATCTTTATTTGAGAAAAGTAGGCTTCATTATTACTTCCATTCTTTGATCTATTTACAGAATACCTTGAGCGTATGGTATTGAACATGCAAGCAAAGGATGAAATTTCACCGACTCTCAAGAATATAGTCAATCAATTTGATGAAGATAACAGAAGGCCACTGGAGAACTTTTCCTGCAGACAGAGATCAGCAGAACAAGCGGATACTATAAATAATGAAAATGAGTTCAATGGTGTTGCATTTGAGAGTTATGAATCTGATGGTTTTGATCATGATGACCAGCCAAGCATTGTCAATGAGGAATTTAATGGAGTGGAGCCTTCTTTCATGAGTTATCATGAGGTTCAACATATTTCCTTCTCTTAATAGTTTAAAGTGGTTAAGAATATAATAGTCTGCTTGTTATTCATACATCGTAATTGAATCCCACAGGATACAGAGCAATTTTCTTTCGACAATTCCAATGCAGATGACAGATTTGGAGAAGTTGATGAATATTTGTTTTTGAGTTTGGGATTTCCTTTGAAACAAAATGCTTGGGCGGGTCCTGATCATTGGAAATATCGAAAAACTAAAGGTAGATGTCACGGAGCTAGTGACAGGTGCTATATTTTATTGACATTTTTACCTTTCATGGTTCAATAACATAATTTTGTGCATTGAATACCATAGGTTCCGAGGATGTCTCTAACGAAGAAAATGCAGCGACTTTAAAAACAAAGAAAACCAGAAATAAGAAACAAACTGAGCCTGATATTGATTTCACAAAAGCCTTGGATAATGAAGTGCCTGACATCTTTGCTCCTCCCAGAAATCTGAAGTCATTACTGCTACCTTCAAGCAGAGCATCTTGTAATACAAAGCTTCCTGAAGATTGCCACTATCAGCCTGAGGATCTTGTCAAATTGTTTCTTTTACCAGATGTGATGGTAATGTGTGATCACAAGTTTGCTACTAAAATATGACTTGGTCAAATGTTTTTCTCATAATTTGATTTTCTTTTAATGAGAGACATTCTTTTGTAGTGCCTCGGAAGGAGGAGGAGAAGGAAGTTGTCAGGTAATGCTCTCATAGATACTTTTCAAATGGTTGTATTTTTCTTGAGTGTTTGTGAACTTTCAAACAGTCTATAATCTTTCTCATGTAGATAGGACGAACATTATAGTCTGTCATATTTCGCTAGTTGTTTCTTGGGAAAAAAAAATTCTCACATCATGATGGATGTGTTCTGTTGTCTAAATGAGTTAAAGCTAAAAAGCTGGTTTTTACTTGTTCTTTAGCTTAGAGGATACAGTGTTGTTCATTCATTTTAAATGTTCTACAATACATAATTTGATTTTAATCTCTTACAGAAACTTATTCTTTTCAGCTCCTGAATGCATATCTGAAACATGTGTTTTTGCAACTTTTCTTCTTAATGGTTTCTTCTCGTTTTGCTTCTAATAGATTACATCTTGTATCGTGGCCAAAAGAAGGGATCTTGTTTCAATGTATCTATTGATGATAAAATGTAAAACATTTCGAGAGCTGATCAAGGATCGTTTGATTATTGAGAGTGACAGTAGGGTGGCAGTGGACTGGATTAAGAAAGTTGAATTATGTCCAAATGTTTATGCTTCTATTGTTAAAGATATTGTTGATAGGCTTAAAGTTTTTGAAGGCGTTGTTAGATGGGTTAATAGGACAGCTAACCTAGAGGCAGATGCCCTAGCTAAGGCTGGAATAGGTTGATTTATGTGTTGTTGTTTAGGGATGTTTTTTGGTTTTCTACTTCCTACTAAGGGAGTTTTAGGGTGTTGTAATTCCTATGTACATTTTATGATTTTAATGAAATTCTAAGGCACTCTTTTCCTCCTTCTGCTGATTAAGGAGCATTTACGAGCTCCATTAATCATGAAGGGTTTTTTTAATGAGGCCTCCTAATCTTATAAAAAAATAAAATAAAATGTAAAACATTTACTGATGTGCTATGGTATAGTTTTTATATTCTCATCTTACTTGATTTTCAGATGAATCAAGGGAACAGTATGATGATTATGATCCACAGCCATCCTGGGAAGAGCAAGGTGCATTTGGTGGTTTTGATGATGAAGTTGATCATAGCGATGTTGATGACTCTGGCATGCTTGTTTCTCAGCCTCGACAGGTTGTTCTTTCGCCTTTATTTCTGGTGTTTCTCCATGCTAGCCCTTGATGGTGCCCTCTAGATTGAAACAAGTAGTTGTAGTGACTTATATTTTATTTATTAATTACAACCTTAACTACTGCTTTGAGACTTTAGATAATAGGCCCTGAGATGGGTTATTTGTAATTTAAGATTTATCTCATACATGAAATATGTTGTTAAATGTTATCTCACTTCTGTTATCTCTTTTTTCAGGTTAGTAAAATTGAAGTTCAGTATGACAAGACATCTAAACAAGTTGATGTTCAAGCTCTGAAAGAAACTCTTTGGGACCAGATACAACAATCTCAAGAAACATCATTTCAGGTACCAATTTTCTTTTGCTTTTTGTTACATTGTTTTAAAAACATACATGATAGTCATCTTAATATCCTTATGGCTCACTTAGTAAATGGTTAAGAGTCTCTCCGAATTGGCTGCATCTGGAGGCACTCAAATTCATCTGTACTTTTTGTACCATTAGCAGTGCAAACACACACAAAAAAAGTAACGAAATTCATAAAAGGAAAATGGAGAGAATATAAAAATGGCGAGTTCTATAGAATGAAGCTTAAAAGAACCATCATCTTTAATGGAGAGAGAAAAATAAAGCAGGAAAATGAAATGAAAACTTGGTTTGGGTTCTCTAGAAATTTGTTTTCTTTCACTGACTGATAATCTAGCATCGATGCTGTTGGAGTCAATTTGATTGTTGGTCATTAAATGAGGACCGGAGGCACTCACCGCATTGTTATTGAGGTGAATCTTAGGTTTTGACAACAAAAACCGGGCAATAGCATTGCTACACAGGGCCTTAAGTTGAGAATTTTAACTTTCAACATGTTTTTCTTTTGTGAAGAGCCCTGAAGAAACGCTATCATTAAAGCATCTATTGGCAAGCTTTCCTGCTGATTGTAAAGCTGCTGCAACAACCAAGGAGATCTCCCCTCATCTGTGTTTCATATGCCTGCTACATTTGGCCAATGAGCATGGACTGTGCATCCATGGTCTCCCCAACATGGATGACCTTGCTATACAACTTCCTCACTAGGGGAAGCACACAATTGAAGCTTTAGTTCATCTCTGAAAACTCAATAATGTTTGTATAATTTGTTTGTTAAACCAGGTAGCACTAGCTCAGCAACAACTGTATTGCTGGGCTTCTGACAGTGTTGTAAACCTCATCTTGTTCATACTTTTAAGTAAGTTGCTTAGAATTTCTACTTCAGCACGCTTGAAATCGATGCTCTGTACTTCAGAATCCAACATTCTTTCACGACTGTTGTTTTTTGCAATATAATGATTGTTGTTGAGTGTTTTTTTGCCAATCGATGGAGGCATTTTAACTACAAGAATTTCAATATGATGCTGAAATTATTTTATCACAAAAAAACATTGTGATAAAACAATTGCGATGTCACAATTGTAAGTGATGTCTTGAACAGGAAAAGAAGGATTCAATTCCAAAATTAGAGATCAAATTTCCCAAGTTGGATAATTAAAAGATGAAGATTGTTAGGTTTAAATGAGGTGAAAAGAACCTCAATGCTCAACAGAACTAAACAAAATCTATATTTATTTTTCTATAAGGCAAATCACAATCACTTTTAAGAGTCTTACAAGAGCACAGTCACTCAAAACACCATCTTCGAGTGGAATTACGAAACACAAGGGTAACTATACTTAAAAGATCAAATGCGAACTTAATTAGACTACCTATAGGATTAACTCTGGAATTCTCAACTACAGGACCGGTTTTGCAGTAATAAGTCACTCTAGAATCAACATGCATAGCACTGAGCAGGGTGAAAAAGGAAATATATTTTCTAATAGTTCTTTTACGAGGCCATGCGGATCATTCAGGCAGCTTGGACATTGCCTTGCGAGTTTGCATGAGATTTAGCAACCCCTTCTCTCCACCCTTTTTGACGAGCTCTTGTTTCCCACATCACTGTCAATTTCTTCTGAGCCACCAGTGCTGCTTCGGCTTTCTCCCTTGCTTCTTCACATGTTTCCATACCTGAACTGCACTTGTCTGCTTCCTTTTGATACTGTGATGCTATCTTCTTAGCCTCTAGTAATGCCATGTCGGCCCGTTGCTGACTTTCCAAAGCTTCAGTTTCTCTTAGCTTCAGTTCTTCTGTCAGAAGTTCTGCAAAGTTCTTTTCAGCATCCTCGTTCACCTCCGGATCATTCTTCGCACAATCTGCAGTTAACCACCACCTTCAATACACCGACTGTATAAAAGAACTCAGATAGACTAGCATTACCCAGGAATAAATAGTTCAGTTCATAATTCATACATCCAAAAAGGCATAACATTCAAAGAAACAAATGTGGAACCCGGTAATAACCACTCTCTAATTTTCCAAACAAACTCTTCCAAAAATCACAAATTTTCTTCAAATTAAGTTATTTAGTTCCATATTCCAATAAATATACCCATGATATGGAAAGTGGAAAACTGACCTACTAAGGAAGCATTACTCAGTCCTGCACAAATTAAAGACAGAATCACAAAATTAGCATAGAATTGGACCAATAAAAAAAGAATTAAACAATATACTTGCAGAGCAAGTAGCAAAAGGAATGATGCTAGAAAACAATAATCATCGGAAGAGTCCTATGAAGAAAATAGATAACAAAGAACATAAAGAACTTCACTCAACATTTGTGAGCACACACAAAAAAGCAGGCATTAAGTGCCACCTTTCAACAATTAGATGCATAATTACAAAACATGGGTGTAGTCCCCCCCAAGAATTAATAAATAACAGAAACAACATTTAAAAATGTAATTAAGTAAAAAGATAAAGCCTTTGGGGGCTAATCAAACACTGGCTCAATCGCACATGCATAAACTACTCGGGAAAAACAAATTGATTTCAGATCCGATCAAATTGTGTTGTTTACTACTATGGTGTAATTTTGAGCTTGGGAAATTGACGAAATCCAAGATAAATCAAATGAAAAAAGCTGAACAAATGAGATCTAACCCAGATCTGGAAATACCTTCAGGGATTGTGAGAAGCGGCTGAGAAGAGCAGTCACAGAGGCAAGGTGGGCAAGTGTTGGAGGTGCGGCTGACGGCGGCTAAGCCTTCCATGAGGTGCCAGTACAGTGGCGGACCAACAATGTAGCCGAACAAACACAGGCCCAATAAACCCAACCCCACCTTCACCGCCGCCGCATGGTTTACCGCCATCTCTTGTTACCGGTCACTAATTTTGGGTTCACTGGGAAATCGAAATGGATATAGATTTTGCCAAAATCTTATAGATTCAAAGACTAGTTTGAGGTAAAATTCGGCAAATGTCAAATCTTCTTTGACTTCGTTGTTTCCCAAATCATCTCTGCTTTGACGGTTAATCTAAAAAAAAAAACCTCTGCTTCGACGGTCGGTATTTTACAATCATTTAACCGAGCGACAAAAGCCCTCTCAACTTGAGAATTGACCTTAAAATGGAACCTAAAAATTTTCTTTTGCACACTTTAATACCTAAATTTGACAATCATTCTTAAAGTGGTATCTATAATTAAAATTAATTATTTTTACTCAATCTAAAAATTTGTGCTTGAACTTGATGAAATTCTCAAATTAGTACCTGATGTCGGTCAAATTGTGATATGTGACATTCAACGATATCATCATCCTCTAAGTTCTAACCCAATCTTAATAGAAGTGTCCTAATTATGAATGCCAATTCGAGTTGAATATTGGGATATTTATAAATATTTAATCTATATTTTTTTTAAATATTTAAAGTAATTATAAAGTAATATTTGTTTAAAGATAATTTTTAATAATTTGATATTAAATACACATATTCATAATATTAATGGAAAACTTAAAAAAAATAACAATAACGTTCACAAAAATCGTTTGATTCGTACGTTCAATATATAATTTTGAATAAAATAATTTGAGGATTTTAATATTAAAACTTTACAGATTTGAAACAAATATAGATATATATATTCGTGTTAATACGTGTCAAAACATAGATGTATAATTTTTTTACTTTAGTTTACTCTTTTTTATTTCGATTTTTCACACAATTGATTTTTATATTCTATAATTTTGATAGGATAATTGACAATTATCGATGACTGTTGTCAATTATATTTACTTAATAGGGAATGCCATTGTCAAAATCATCAGCAAAGGACGAATTTAATAATTATGGTAAACTATGCTAATATTCCCCTTTATTTTCAGTATGATTGACTTTAGTCACTAATTTAAAAATTAAAGGTAAACAATCCCTAACGTTATCGATATGTTTGATTTTAGTCCATAACCGTTAACTCCCGCTAATCCTGTAACATCCCGAACTACGGGTTAGTGACTAAATTGTAAAATTTCAAAAATTGGGGATAAAAGTATAATAGTTGAATAATTCAATGATTTATGTAGAGATATTTCCTGAAAGTTGTTAGTAAATATTAAATGAGTCAAAGGGCAAATGAGTCATTGAACAAGGAAAATAATTAAATAATAATTAATGGGTATTATAATACCCATGTGGAGCATGATTGAAGAGATAAGTTTCCAAGCAATTCTCTTTTTCATCTTCTTCTCTTCTTCACGTGAAATTTCAAGCAAAAGGTAAGATTTCTTTGTTGAATTAAAGGTTGAGTTTTGATCATTAGATGATAACTAAGCTTAAGGAAAGCTTAAGTTATCTTAAATCAAAAGATAAAGGAGTTATGACAGATTAAAGAAAATGGGGTTTAAAGTAAAATTTTGAATAAGAAGGTTTAAATGAATTTGGAGGATGAATTTGACTTGTCATCTATGAGAATAAGAAGTTAGAAGTGTTAGAATTAAGTTTGGATAACATGGAAAATTTGGTATGATTCTTAGCCTTAAGAATTTGGATGAAATATGAAGATTATAAGGTGTTGGAATGATAGGAATTGGTTAAAGTTGTTATAGATGAATTTAGTAGCATAATAAGGATTTTATACATGAATATTTGGGTGAAGTGTTGATGATTTTCGGATGAAATAACCTATTCTGGATAGGTGCATCGATGCACTATGAGTGTGTACCGATGCACTAAGACAATTTTAAAGGTGCATCGATGCATGAAAATTTCGAAGCTATTTTGGGTATCGATGCATTCATAGTGCATCGGTACACCCCTAAAGGAAAAATGGAATTTTGGCTCATTAAACTAGCTTGAGTTATTAATATCAAGTTATAAGGTTTAGGATTTTGATAATCATCTCGAAAATTATGTTTATGTAGATATTGAGCCTAAACTAGTTCCGGAACAATCGAAGAATTAGGATTTATTCAAAGAAAGCAAGGCTAAGGTGAGTGCACATTATTTAGTATATGATGTTCAATGGAAAATAAGACTCGTGATAAGTCTATTTCCAATAGTAAAATGCATGAATTCATAGAAGTATGTGTTTGCTATGATTTATATATGTGCATGAGTATATGTGTTATTGATATGAATATGGTAAGTAAAAGGGATTAATGGCGATGATAAGAATAACAATAAGGATAATGAAATAATATGTATATGTGAATATATGTATATGAGAAGACATAAGAGTACGATATAAGCAATGTAATAAGAAGTGTGAAATGATATGAAAAGTTAATATAAGCTATGCAAAAGTGATTTACGTGACTATATGTATATTTGATCCAAGTTATGTGAATATATGAGAATAAAATATGAGAATACATGCCTATGTGATGAGCTATGTGAAAGTAAATACATGAAATAATATATCTAGATGTTATTCTACGTGCTATGTGATGTATATATGAACATAGGTGAACAAGAAATGACATACGTATATGAACAAATGAGAAATGAGATAAGCCATATGAAATAAACTACGTGATTACATGTAATATATAATATATGCTATATGATATGAAATATATGCTTACATATACATGTGGTATGTGACAGAAGAGAAAGAACAAGTGATATGAAATGTTATAAATGATAGTGCTCATGTTATGTAATATGAGAGCTAGTGGTATAGTTGGCATGCCAAGAGTCGAGGGTTTACCTATGTTCTACGGAACATATGGACATAATTACCTATGTCTTTCGGGACATATGGACAGAATTACCTTTGTCTTTTGAGACATATGGACAGTATGCCTATGTTCTAAGGAACATATGGACAGTTTACCTAGGTTCTTTGAGACCTATGGATAGTTGTCGAGGTTTTTTATGACCTCTAGATAGGTCTTTCGGGACAATTATACGAGCTATGGTGACAACATAATAGTGCACAACCTCAATGTACTCACATACCTTAAGTTTTCAGAAGTGTACATGGGCTAATACATAATCTTTAAACATAACAAATAACTTGATATGATACTATGTGTGCTCTGTTGTGAAATGACATGGATGCCCGATGGTGAGTATAAAAAGGTACAATATATGATTACATGATAAAAAGGAATTAGCGATAGTAATATGAGTACTGATAAGTATGTTAATGATATAGGTATATGTGTGCATTGGTTATACCATAGGAGATATTTTTTTATATGATATGATAGTATTAATTGTTTATGCATTGATATGAGTAGAGTAATATTATATGTTTTCATGCCTCACTAAGTCAACGACTTAGCGTGTGATTATTTCACACGTAGGTTCTGAGAAGAGGAAGATTGATAAAAGTTATGCAAGACAGGTCAATTCATCATTTCCAAAGATCGGATCATAAAAGAAATGTATAGTATGTATTTTGTAATAAGGAAAGTGGTTGTCATGTAAATAAAGGTTTAAATTTGATATGTTCTAATCGGTTTGTAAAATCATATGATAGAGTTTTGTAATGTTTTAAACATATTTATGCAAATGAAAATGTATAGTAATGAACGGTTAAATTTTTACGAGTTTTATGAACGTTTTACAAAAGTCACTGTAGCAGTACATCGATGCACAATTTTGCTTCGAAATTTTAGTGCATCTATGTACTATAGCAATGCATCGATGCACTGTAGCACTGTTCACGGTACTGTTCATAAATATGTTTTTGCCTTAAATTTTTATAATGAAGCATAATTTAATAGTATATTATTGTGTTTTCTTAATATGAGTTCAAATGTTTTGATATTTTATAAGAATACTGTTTTAAAAAGTCAATGTGACATCTCGGACTCGTATCCGGGTCGGGTACGGGTTGGGGTGTTACAAATCCTTTAACGGAAGTATTACGTGACAATTTAAAAATAATAAATAAATACAGATAAACTCCTCCTCCTCCTCTCTTTGTTCCCAAATAAAAACACAAAAATCACCTTTGGAAGATCAATTCCCACATTGCATTATCCAAACCCAGAAAGTTTTAGCAAGCAAGCAAGAACAATTTGATTCCTTTTTTATTTTGTTTTCGGTTTCGAGTTTAATCAAATTTATCATTGATGCTTTGGCATGGGTGAATGTGGTTCGAATCTGGTCTGATTATTTGCGATGTTATCGATGCAAAGGTCCGGAAGTGGATAGTTTGAGACTTTGTTATCAATGTAAGCTCCAATGGTGAGATATTCTCGGTAATTGATAGGAGGAAAAATGTGACTAATTTTATACAGACTTTGGGGAAAGTTTGCAATTTAGATTAGTTCACTAGTGCTTCGAAGAATGAATGCTCGGCCGCTGTTGGCTTCAAGTGGATGCTAAATCAGGTAAACATCCTAGCTTCTTATTATAGTCTTGAGTATTGACCTTGTGAACTTATGATGTTCAAGTGAGAAACGTGATGGCTTGTTGTTGAGTGGTCGGAACTATATGAAAACGAACCGGAGTTGTCAATCTATTATGTTTTAGCACGATTATTTATTCACATAAGGGAGTTTAGTAATCTTCTTCTGATAGGAAAGTATGGAGACTAAAGACCAGGGTAGCCGAGTAGTGTGGGTCACAGTAGGGTAGCGGAGTAGTGTTGCCTTAGTTTAGGTTCTAACCCATTAAATTTTATTCCTTCTCGTAGCTTGTTATCGCTGACTTCCATGTATCATTCTCTTCATGTTTCCTCTTTTTAAATTTATTCAGGACTTACGTTTCTGTCTATATGCAGAGATTTTTTAGGCAGGGATTTATGTGCATGGATTACTTCCTATTACAGACGCGCATATGAAGACTATTCAACTATGTATTTATTGATTTATTTATACATGCATTGTATTTTATCTTTATTTTTTATTTTTTAACTGCCGGATGTCTTCCACGGAAGCTGCTCTCAACCTGGCGTTGGGGGCAGCCTACTACCCTACCTCCTCTTACCCCATTGTATATTGAAATAGGGTTTTGTTGTTGTTGCCTGTAAGTTTCATCTATCTGGTTTAGCAAAGGAAACTAGACTTGTTTTCAAGATATCAACCATGCAAAAGAATACCGTATCAATATGGTAGCAATCCTATGTGATGGAAGGAAATCATTTGCATTTTACGAGCTGCTTGTTGATGTATTTTTCCTGCAGGAATTGATAGAGCACCAGCGAGAAACAGTAGAAATAATAGAATACCGTAATCAAAACGATTTTTGAATTTTTTAATTTCTGGAGGCTATGAGGAGGACGAAGAAGAAGAAACGTAGGTTTGGGTTTTTTATTTTTTATTTTTTTATTTTTTGGAAGTGAAATAAAGGAGACTATTCTATAGTTTACCCTAATAATTATTATTTAAAATAATTATTTTAATTACTTTTTCAAAATCTCTACTTTGTAGTTTTTATATTATTTAACTGCTAATAATACATGAAAATTGAAAAGTAGATTAGGAGAATCAGAACCTCGACTGGGCCCACGTTGGAGGAGGGACGGACAAATCTAAATGAATATAACTGATTATGATTTATGCATGCATGCATGTGATTCTTTCGCTTGTTCCTTTTTATGGATTTTCAAAACAAGTAAAAAAGAACTTGAATAATTTCATCAGAGAAAACTGGAATCAGGCAAATTAAGTTGAATCCAACACAAGCTTACCTTTGAAATATAAAATAGAAGGAAACAACATCGTACTACATTCAACATCTATGAGAAGATCTAACATCTAAAACCTCGACATGTCTCTATGCATGAGAATCAACTCACTCCTGCATCAACCTGCAAAGCACCAGGGGTTATTAAAAACATATAACATGACATGAGACATTTGTTATATTTGTTTTGTGGGGAGAACATGTTTCAGTTTTCATCATTGTGCCGGACACTGGAATCCCGAAGGTGGAGTCTTGCCGCAATCGATGAGGAGCTGAAGAGCGATGGGTAGTATAATATTGATGTTCAAAAGCTTGAGCCTGATCGTGGTGCAGAGACATATGGCGGCGTCCAAGTCCAGCAGCCCTTGAAGCACGGGGCAGCACGTGGACTTCGCGCTGCTGCCTATGCCGATGTGCACCAGACCACCTAACACGTCCACGCATGCGCCCAGCTTAAGCGTGTCGATGGGGCATGTTTGTTGCGCCGGCGGGGACGGATATGGCACGGGCGGCGGCGGCGGAGGACATGGTGTCTCCACCGGGGGTGGCTTCACCACAGGAGGTGATGGAGGAGGAAGAGTTGGTGGCGTTGGTGTTGGTGGCTTCACGATAGGAGGTGATGGAGGTGGCAGAATCGGCGGTGTTGGCGGATTCACTATAGGAGGACTGGGGTAGACCGGAGGCTTTGGAGGCACAAATGGTGGTGATATGACCGGCGGTATTGGATGATAAGGTGTTGGGGGTTTAACAACCGGAGGTTTGGGTACGTAAGGTGGAGGCTTTACAACAGGTGGTTTGGGTACATGGGGAGGCCTTACGACAGGAGGCTTAGGAGGATGCGGTGGATGCTTAGGCGGTTTAGGATGATAGGGCGGGTTAACAACCGGAGGCTTCGGCGTTTCGGGAGGATGCGGTGGATGTTTAGGCGGTTTAGGATGATAGGGCGGGTTAACAACCGGAGGCTTCGGCGTTTCGGGAGGATGCGGTGGATGTTTAGGTGGTTTAGGATGATATGGAGGGTTAACCACCGGAGGCTTCGGTGGTTTGGGAGGGTGCGGTGGATGTTTTGGTGGTTTAGGGTGAAACGGAGGTTTCACAATGGGAGGATGTTTGGGCGCCGGAGGACATTTGGGCGGCGGAGTTGGGTGGTAAGGACATTCAGGGCAGGCAAGAGAAGCAAGCAAACTTCCCAAGTTCAAAAGCAACACAATGAAATTGGGTAAGTTAAGCCTCCCCATCGTCTCTCTCTGCATAGGGAGTGTGTTTGAATTACACTTGCAATGAAACCATGCACATCTTATAACATAAGATGATGCAAATGACAGACAAAGGGAAAGCAGTGAAATCAATTAGCAAATGTCGTTTTCCTGGTAATTTATTAAAGCACTTGGCATCATTCATTGACCTTTTCTTCCTTTCCATATGCATAGTTTCAGTGTCTAGGGATAATAATAATAGTATTATTATTATTAGCCTGAAATGCAAGTTTTTGAGAGATGGATTATTATTTTTCGAAGTTCCAAGGACTAGAGAAAATGGAGGAATCAGGGGCAGCGTGCATGATTGATGACAATTTTAACTTGTAGTGCTCTGCTTAACCCGTGAGTGGATACTTGGCTTGAAGGGGGTGCTCTGCTTGCATGCGACCATTCCGTTTTCTTTAATATTCAACTTTTGCAACATGACAAATCTCACCCCACGTCTTTACTCTTTTATTATTTTCTTGATTTCACGTTATCTTTATCCGTGCAAACGGGTCCTACTACGGTTCAAGTTTTAGCATGAGTCCCAACTAGTGTTAGAATCGATTATTAATTAAGCTTTAGTAATTTTATTTGTATTTCAAATCAAACTTAAAATCTATAAGTGATATATCAGTGAATAGCCTATGAAGTGATGGTTTAGAATGTGAAAAATTGGAGAAAGTAATCCATAGTTAGCGATTTCTTCTTTTTATTTAAATGAAGAATCGATTAATTTTTTAGAGGGTCTTTTTTTTTAATAGGAGTGAAAGAGTAAGTAAGGTCGAAAGGAAAAAGAAGAGTGTCCCTTTTATCCTATGAGCGCTATGCTATATATTTCGTATATCTATGTACATGGGGAGGAGGTGTTGAGTATGAATCCTTGAAAGGCTAGCTTGATATTCCGTTGATTCTTTCGGTTGAGCTTGTCAGATTATCAAAGTTATTAGTTAGTGGGTCAATGGAGAATAATTTAGTGTTTTTTTTTATAAATTCTAAATCAAAATTTAATTTTATCGAGGGAGGATGTAGATTTTAAAGGAAGGAAAGGAAGTGTTCCTGATAAGTTTACAACTCATGACTTGAGAAAATATAAGGAATAAATATGAGTAGTGTGACAAACCGACCAAATATGATTGTTCAAAAAAATCTAGTGTTTATTACGGGATATAATGTGAAAACTATTTATTATTGGGTGACTGGGTATAAATGGCCCGGATAGGTGAAGGACACAAAATTAGGGGTATGTACAATTCGATTTGAATTAACTTCGAGTTGTAATTTCATAAACGATTAGACTAAAAATATTTTAAATTTGAGTTATAAAATAGAACTCAAAAAATAGTCAAATAACTTAAAATAGTCGAGTTGTAATTAATGAATAACATAAAATAGTCCAAAAATAGGTGAAGGGCATATTAAGCCATTTCAAGAGGTTTTATGACGACGTCGATATTGGATGTTGCGAGAAGCTTTCAAAAAGGGTGACACCAAAGCCACCATATATGTCATTGCCATTCAATTACACACATATACACACGAGTATTCTTAAATTATAGTTTAGATTCTAAATTGATCTTCAATCAACCGAATAAAAATATTAATATCAAATAATATAAAAAATTAAATAAAATCAGAAAAATATAAAAAATGAGTTGGGTGACCGTCTTCTATACTAATCTAAAGTCGAAAATGATAGCGAGAGCCGAATCATGAATACGACCACTGAGGCATGTATGTGGGTAAGATATATACAAATTACACAAATTACTATCGCCGTGCCTTAAGTTTTGTACGTATATTTAGTGATGATTTCAAACCGAACATGGGTCTAAACAATTCATGGATTTGTCCATATCATGATATTAAGCATCGGCCGAGTCTTATTATTTTCCCTAAAATTTCCCACGATGGAATGCACCACCATGTTGAAAATAAGTGGAGTGGGTTGAAAACATGGATGGTGAAATTATGTTTCTGGTACAATGGAATTAAGGATACAGTAAGTAACCCCACCATATCCCTTTGTCAAATCACCTGACTCAAGGTAAATTCCGAAGCTTTGTCTTTAATAAGTTGAAGTTCTGAGATCTAAATAAAAGTTGTGTTGTTTCAAAATGTAAATTATCCAATTAAGTCCCTAAGTTTATCATCAATTTAATTGAGTACCGAATACAGATATAATTTTCTGTTATCAGAATATAATATCAAATAAAACATAAATTATATGTATAATACATCCTATACTGTCAACTCTTTCAGGTTCATAGAACCACATCTATCAAGAGTGTTGGTCCAGACCCCCTTGGATCACTTGTAACTGAACTGGCATTTATCGGAACCTGTCAAATTTGCATTACAAAAGTCGTTAAACACCAACATTTTTGTTTGCTTGTCGGGAAAAATTTTAAAAAAAGGAAACTTACTAGGATCGACAGTAACAAGCATGGCAGTTCCTCCGAAGTCGCAAGTGCCACCGTGCCCCTTTGTGTTCTGCCAGTAGCTGTTGAAAGCATACGAAGCATGGGAAATCAATGTGTTGGGTTGGAAACAAGGCTGGTTGGGTTGAATCGATTTGCAATCCGCACCAGACCCGCATGCATAATCCATGGCCGCTTGGATGATTGAATCGGGCACCGCCGGCTTAGCCACACACCAAACACCGCCGGTGGGTTCAGCATTGGGGGTGCGTAAATGGGTTGGTGCGGTGCAGTCTTAGGAGGGTTTGGATCATGTTTTGGTGAGCTAGGTTGGTGTTGAGGTGGGATTGGGAACATACTAGGTGGACTGGTTCCGTGTTCAGGAGGAATTACCGGTGAGTTATAACTGTAACTAGGCGGCGGCGGCGGTGGTCCATAGCTCATCGAATACGGCGGAGGGTTGGAGATGGATGGTGGGGTGAAGGGAGGAGAGCGGCCAGGCTGAGGAAGTGGTGAGAGTGATTCAAAAGGAGGGAGATAGAAGGGTGAGTTGAGGGTATAGGGATCAGCATTGGAAACGACATTGTTGGTTAGTTTCAGCTTGTTAATGAACTCGGTAATGGGACTTTGATGGAGCTTTTAGCCCTTCTTCTTCCATATAGTAATAAAAAATCTGGCACCTAATAACATAAGCAAAGACAAAAGAAACTGATTTTTCAAAAAACAAAGCACCTAGAAGAACATATTTACACATATAATCACAAGGAATTTACGTACCACAAGGAGTGAAGAGAATGGAGGTTACAATGGAAATGAAGAGGACTGAATTGAGCAATTTAAAACAGTGATGCATTGACTCCATGACTGTTAACTAAAGCTTCGTATAGCACGAACAGAGATGAACCTCATTGGGCATGGTGTATAAATATAGGGTGTAATAAATGGAGAGAAAATTCCTTTTTAAGTGGTAAGAACATATGACTGCACTTTTTGTTTTGCTTGATTTCTACTCAAAGTCAAAGTGCATTTGTTTGATCTAAAATCCCATAAATCATGAAAAGATTTCAATGTTTTTGAACAAACACTGGCCATTGATATCCTTCTTAATTCTTTCAGAGTTATACAAAGCTTTTGGGAAGACATTGATGTTATGGTGATTTAGCATGCAGTAGAACATCAAACACTGCAATTGGCTGATTGTTTAAGGCGCCAGTTTGTATTTGCAGCCACAGCCATACTTAAGCCCTTTGGAACTAGAATTGGCTGAATACAGCATTGCTGGCCGGAGATGAAAATTCGCACACAAAAAACACTAACACATAAATTTATCAACCTATCAGGATGAAATCATATCCAAATTCAATTTAGCAGTAAAACAACAAAGCAATTGACCATCACCAACTTATAAGCAAATTAAACAACTTAACAACGCTTTCATAATGACAATACCACAGGAGTAGATCCAATAAACTTCTCAGTATAACAAAAATACTCAGTGCTGTCGTAATACCAAAGTTTGCTAAAGACTTGCTTCAATTGACAATACGAGAAACAAAAACTAAAGTCTTTTAAAAAGCCAAAAAGCAAGACACAGCACTCAATGAGCAATCTCACTTCTTCTCTTCTTTCTCAGCCTCAGCAGCCTTCTTCAACCTAGCACCAATATGCCGCTCATTCATACGTTCAACACGAGCTTGTTATATGCCTTGAACGACTTCATTTCCTCAGTGACCTTCACGAGCTCAACAGAAGGCTTCTCAAGGGAAATAGGCATGTATGGTACTTGGACTTGGGTTGCCGTTGCAAGCTCCTCAGCAGTAGAATCACCAGCCTATTGGAATGAGAAACAAAAAAAAATATTAAAAATGAAAACAATACAATGCAGATTAAATGTTTTAATCTCCGCAAGTAAGGCCACATAAAATTACCTTAAACTTGCGAGCGCGTCTTGGGAAGACGACAAGCTTGGCCTTGTAGGTCTTAAGCCTCTGTACATTGGCCTGAAGACCTTCAAGTGATCTATTCTTACGGCGATGGTCAACAGCAATACCAATGGTTGGCGCAAGTTTCTTTGAAATACCAGCAGCCTGGTCAGAGAATTATGAAAGTTCTCAATATACGCACATGCAAACTAAATCAAGGTGGAATTTCAACAAGGGATTTAAATAGTTGTTTGCTACAGTAATGGTGTCACCCTAAACCCTTATTGCATGACCACAATACCCACAATGGCCGCAATAGTATCAATTATGTCCACAATCACAATAAATGCAACATAACAGAAAACATGGCCAAGACCACAATTTAAATCGATGAATTCAAAATTATACAACACATCTTCTATTCAGCCTATCTACACACTTAACAAAGCACCAATCCAATTCATTATTCCCTCTTTCACTTAATCTTAAACTTGATTGTCACAATGGAATAATTAATATATAAACTTGTTCACTTAATCACAAACGGAACAATAAGATACTAAATTGCTTGAAATAAATCTTGGCATATCAAATGATATTTATAAGAAATCTAATTCACAAATAGAGAAACACCACACTGAAAATATCCAATCCCTTTTAAGAATAAACCTAATATCGTACGAAGAAATAGAGAAACTGGAACATCATACCTTAAGCTCTTCAAGGGTGAAACCCTTGCCAGCTCTCAACTTCATGTTGTACTTCAAAGTCTGGCCATGGACAATGGGGCGAAGTGGTCCAGCCGTTGGCCAACTTCATGTTGTACTTCAAAGTCTGGCCATGGACAATGGGGCGAAGTGGTCCAGCCGTTGGCCTTGGAAAGATCCTCACCGCCTTCTTTTGTCTAGCTACAAGATCCCAAATCACAATCATTAAACATCAATTGCACTCAAATAAACATCCATTAATCTTTTAACAGAAAAGCAAAAAATATGATTAACAACAACATAAAAAAAAATCACCAATTCTTCTTCTATTCTTTCGTGCTGGTTGATTGAACCAAGTTTTGACATAGTTCTGCCAGTGCTTCTTAAAGTGCCCATTTGGCACAACATTGTTATGCTTCACCATTACTTAGCTGTTTAACAAAATTGAAAACAGAATATCAAAGATTGCAAAAATATTAAATGGAAAATGGAAAAGAATATATGAGACGAAAAGCGGTAAGCAGCTCACCTTCGGCAGGGCGAGATGAAAGGCGCAAAGAAAAGAGATGAAACCCTAGGCCCTTTTATAGGGTTTCTCTTGGCTCATTTATTTATATTCATTAGACTGCCTTCCCAATTCACATCATCGGACGGTTGTGAAAGGACTGGGCTCAAAATGTTTGAGATTTGAGAAAATAAAATTGGATATCAAAACTTAAATGGCCCAATATTTTTGGAGTTTTAAAACTAGTCGAGCTGCTTTCGAATAAAAAAAAAATTAATTAATTCCTTCAAAAAGTAAAATACGAACTAATTAGCATTAATATAAATTATAAAAAATAATAAAAAATATTTACACTTTTTAAATATTTATTATCCTTGTATTTGTGATATTAGTCAAAACGAATTAAATTATTTTTTATTTAGATAAATTTGAATTTAATATAGATATTTTTTCATTTGAATTAAATTAATTTTTTTATTTAGATAAATTTGAATTTAATATATATTTTTCATTTGAGTTAAAATTTGAGTGTCTTGAAATTTTTTTTATATAAATCTAAGTGAAATACAAGATAATATCTATTTAAAAGCTTTCAACCCTTTGACAATAAAGACTCATACTCATACATACGTGATCCTTGAACCCGTGACATCAAAGGATAACACCGAGTCCTTTAATCACCAGGGTCACTTGAAAGTTTAATTGGTTTAATGTATTTAAAAAAATTAAATATTAATTTTTAATAGGTTTCAGCTTTATATATATATATAATAAATTTAATATTTTATTTTTTTGATTAGTTCAGTTAATTGATTAATTTTAAACCGAATTAATCAATAATCGAGCGTTAAAAAAATAACATATAATTGATGTAAAATTATATTAATTAATCGATTAATTGAACTAAATTTTCAAATCTAAATTCTATAAATAGAATAATATTTTACTACTAAGTTACTTGATTTTAGAAAAGAATTCTTCTTTCTTATGATAGAGGGACTGAAAATATACGTTTAACTTGTTGAGATACATTTCAACCTAGTATTAATCAACGAAATGAAAGCATAAAAAGGTTGCCTTTCCTTTTCTTACAACGTTTGCTCACTCTTTTAAGTCTGTCAATGACTCAATGTAATATCTATTTATGTTTCTCTCACCTTCTCTTCACTTCACCATGAAAGCAGGCTTTGATAGTAAGAAGCAACGAAAGTGGAGCTTAACCTAATTTATTTCATTAGATTACGGCTTCATTCATTCATAAAAAATAATAGCTAAAAATGACATTTACATTTGTTGTGTATAAGTAACAATGAGTTGAATTAACGATAAACGAAAATGTTAATTTCAACATAACAATGATGATTCTACAAGATATATATATGGGCTATGGTGGACCCTAACCGAAGAAGAATGATAAAGTGAAATATAAACTTTTCCCTCTATTTTAGTGGCCATCGGCAATCCCTTCATGTTTGGTAGATAAGAAAATCTTTGGAGAAATTTTACCTAAGGACAGGGTGATTTGCAAGGCATGTCATCCGTGTCCCTTAAACTTCAAGGGCATGCATGTTTAAGGCATGTCGTCCACTTGTATACACCTCACAAACGTCCCATTTATCCCGTATATAACATATACTAAAAACACAATGAATCCCAAAAGCCTTTGTTTCATTGTTCTTGTTGCAATTTTTGGTGTTTTTGCATCCAGGGTTGTCATCAATACAATCCCTCAAGTCCTCAGATATATTGTCGATTTCACTATATCCCTCTCTTCATGGTTTATCCCGTATATAACATATACTAAAAACACAATGAATCCCAAAAGCCTTTGTTTCATTGTTCTTGTTGCAATTTTTGGTGTTTTTGCATCCAGGGTTGTCATCAATACAATCCCTCAAGTCCTCAGATATATTGTCGATTTCACTATATCCCTCTCTTCATGGTCACCCATCGTTGTGAAGTTCATCCCGTTCAACTTCGACAGCCTTCGTCGACATCGGAAACACCATGATAAGGACAAACCGGTGTCCATCTGCGATGACTTCCCTCCCAACTTCCCACCTCCGGAAACCAACACGACTCTAACGCTTTGTGTTGATCGAAATGGATGTTTTAATTTCACAACGGTGCAAGCTGCCATTGATGCAGTCCCAAACCTTAGCATCAAAAGAACTGTAATATGGATCAACTCGGGCATTTACTAGTGAGCATCTATCCTTTTATGTGACGTTAGTTACTATTGTTATTTTGCGATACATTTGAAACATATTGATACAATTTATTTTTCCAGTGAGAAAGTCATTATTCCGAAAACCAAACCTAATATTACATTTCAAGGACAAGGCTATACATCAACAGCAATAGCTTGGAATGACACTGCACTTTCTGCAAATGGAACCTTTTACAGTGGTTCAGTCCAAGTTTTCTCCACCAACTTTATTGCCAAGAACATAAGCTTCATGGTGAGAAATAAATACATAATCAAACACCATATATTAAGAGTTTAAAAACATACTGCTTCCTCTGATGTATTCCAGTTTTTGTCATAGAATGTAGCTCCTATACGTCGTCCAGGTGTTGTTGGGGCACAGGCAGTGGCCATTAGAATATCCGGAGACCAAGCTGCCTTCTGGGGTTGCGGTTTCTTCGGAGCACAAGACACCCTTCACGACGACCGTGGCCGCCATTACTTCAAGGATTGCTATATACAAGGCTCCATCGACTTCATTTTCGGGAACGGAAAGTCTCTTTACGAGGTGATAACGTTTTTACTAAGCAAACAATTTAGAACATCATCGATATGCCGCCGGCTGATTATAAGATTCGATCTTCAACAGGATTGTCAGATGTTATCCATGGCTAACCCTGTGGCACCGGGATCGAAATCCATAAGCGGAGCAGTGACGGCACATGGACGATCATCGGCGGATGAAAACTCGGGGTTTGCATTCGTCAACTGCAGCGTGGGTGGCACGGGCAGAATATGGCTCGGCCGTGCATGGAGGCCATTTTCTCGTGTGGTTTTCGCTTTCACGTCTCTCACGGATATCATTGCACCAGAGGGATGGAATGATTTTAACGATCCTACACGAGACCAGTACGTATGAAAATTGGTTATCTAATAAAAAGGGTTAAATATATATTTGGTACCTATAATTTTTCATTTTCTCATTTTAGTAATTGAAGAATTTATTTTATTAATTTATCCCTGAAATTGTAAAAAATGTCACTGTTAATTAATGGTATAGGAGCATATTCTACGGAGAATACAATTGTACGGGTGCAGGAGCAAATATGAGTGGAAGGGCACCGTATGTTCAAAGGCTGAATGATACGCAGGCTTCTCTTTTTCTTACTACGTCATTTATCGATGGGGATCAATGGTTGCTATCTTACCATACTTAGAACATCTGTCAATATTATAATCTCCCAAACTTGTTACTAATTGATGTCATCAAATAATGGACTCCACTTTTATTTCTTTATTTCAAATTTATTATTATTAATTATGTGGATAAATAAAAATATTTTATATAAAATTATATTTATAAGAATTTGTTTAATAAAATGATTTTAGGTGAAATGGTAAATATTCATATAAAAATTTATTTATCATATATTTGAATATTAAGTAGTATTTTTAATTATTTTATTTATAAATCTAATAATAGTTTTAATTATTATAGTGGTTGATACTATAAATGACGTGAAAAGGATTATTCATATAACAATTTTTTTGAAAAATGATGTGAAAATAATTATTCATTCAACAATTTTTTTAAAAATTAAGATGTTGAAGAAAGAAGAAAAAAAGTCTTTCAGAGCAAAAGATTTATATTCTACTTAGGGTTGCATTTTCCTTTGAATTTGATTTTCTTAATTAGTCTTTTAACTTTTTTTTGTTTAGATTAATCTTTGAATTTGATATTTTTTTTATTTTGACCCTTAAATTTATACTTTTGATTGTTCTAATGATCCGACACTATGAGATTATATTATGTCATCGTCTAAAATTTTAAAAAACCAATATATTTTTCTTGGATTATGATATAGTATAGTCTCGTACAGGGACATGACTATGTTGGGCCCCGACATTGTAAAATTTTTATATATTCGACAAATTTTAGTTTAGTAGTATTTCGGTTCTTGTAAAAATAAGTATTCAAATTTAATATATATATATATATATATATAAATTATTAAATATTTAATTAAGTAGGGGTGAACAAAAGAAAATAATCTCATGTTCTCAAACTTTTTGGTCTAATAACAATTTAGATCATTGTAAGTTTAAATATTAAATGAACTAATCATTTTCTTCTAAATTTTGAGTTTAAATACCTAATAATCTATTGTTTTTTTCTTAAAAAATTTAATATTTTGGTCTTTGTCAATATTTACTCATGACTCTGTCCCTAGTCTCGTAATATGACATCATCAAAAGGATAAAAGATCAAGTTCAAGGATCAAGTTGAGAAAGTCATCCAATATTAAGATTAATATAGAGTATAGACCTAAAAGAATTAGGGACCAAATTGGGATAAGAAACCAAATTCATGGGACAAAATGTGATTTATTCCTTCTAATTATTATAAATTCTTTTTGGAAGTTTAGTTCGTAGTTTAAAGAATCATTAAAGGCTATATAGTATATTACTTTTTCCACGATTTAAGCCTAAAGCCACCTTTAATTATATCATATTAACATCCTCTAACGTATTAAAATCATTGGGTTTGCTTTTGGAGTCATGGCATGGCTGCTTTCAGTTACACTTTTGTGTTATATACAAATAACCTTTTGGTTGAGGTTTATATTGTATTTCTAAATTTGTATATTGTCTTAAAAAAAATTATTAATAATTTATTTTTATCGTCTTAAAATTTTATAAGTTGACGGCATCCTATATTTCAAACCATTCCTATCACCGCAAAAAGTTTCAATACCAATTTTTTCAAAAACAATAGTCATGAATCGAAAAAAGAAACATTTTTGGCTGTGTTAAGACAACCCAAAAAAGTCATTAATTTTCAGCTATGACCACAAGGGCCACAACTGAAGGCATCAAATTGAAACATTTCTGATCGTAATAGACGAAGATATGGCAAACTATTGTTGAAGCACAAAGGAAGGAATGGTTAGTGGTGCTTGATTACACCCACGAAGATAGGAAATAAAATATTGACATTAAATCAAATGAGAGAGTTAATCTATAATATACTCCTAAAGTTTAGTGTTTAAATTATTATCATTTTAGACATCAATGTTCGTACCAAAATTTAATGTTATAATTAAAGAAATTAAAAATTCAATACTATAATTGATGGAATTAAAAGTTTGTACACCATCTAAAATTCAATTATAATTTTATGTAATTTAACCTTTAAAATAAGATGTTTAATAAGTTTCTTGTTGGTTTTGTTGGTTGTTTTTAGTACGGTTGTTAATATCATCATATACTGTTAAAAGAATTAAAGAGATCATAGTCCTATCTGACTTATGTAAAATCGTCATTGTTTTCTTCTTTTAATATATGTAATAAAAAATACATTTAAATATAATTTTAAAAAGTTAAAATTTGGTCAGGTACGAATAATAAAAGTAAAAACTAATATTTAAAATTTTAATATATTAGATATCAATATTCATTTAATTAATTAACTACAATAAGAAGTTTAAAATAAAATTAAACCCCAAATCCAAACGTTGGAGGCTACCTAATAATAAACAACAGCATATAAAAGGGTGGAAAAAGAAAAAGAAAAAGAAAATATTTACATTGGTCAATGTTTGTTGCTAAGACATGTCAGCACCTAACATTTTCCTTTACGTCTCTGTCTCTTTCGAAGTCCCAAAACATGTCTGACCGAGAAAAAAAAAAGCATCAAAAACTGAATGAAGTGTGAGTCATGTTCTCATTGGAGGAACTGGTTCAAGAAGGAGGAACCTGCGAGGAAACACCCTCTGCAACAAACCCTTCGGACCCAACTTCCATGATCGATACAGGATATCTTTGAAGCAAATGGTCCCCTGCCCGGAGATTACTATCGTTGCCGTTCAATGGAAACATGAATACCTGGTTTTGATGTTGCATTAATTGATGCTGCTGCTGTTGTTGATATTGCAATTGAAGCCCGGCAGGAGGAGCGGTGAGGGAACCGGGATTAAGATGGGATTGACGTCCTCCGAAACTGAACCCGAAAGCCGGTCCACCAGGGAGAGCCGAGCCTTGTGCAAAACTAGGACCGCCGGTGAAGTGTTGAACCATGGCTCGGAAGTTTGCGGTGTCGGTGTTGAACATAGTGGTAGGGGTTCGCCTTGAAGCCCTTGACCGTTTTCGAGCTGGCTTCCCAACGTGGCCTTCGGGACTCAAATGGCCGCCTCCGGTTGAACTAGCTGGGACAGAGACTACTGCACTTGATGTGACCGTAGTGGTGGCAACGGTGGTGCCGTAGGGTTCGCCGAACACCGGCTCCTGATCGGAAAGATTTTGTTGGTAAAAGTGAGACCAGTCAGCGGGACTAGACATGGGAAAGAAGAGCAGTTATAGTAGCTAAAAGTAGTGGAGAAATGTTTGTTTCTTTTTGGGTGTGAGCTCGAGAGGAAGAAGTGAAGGGGGAAGAAGAGAGCGTAAGATGGTGGTATATATGGTGGCGGTCAAAGGGAGAATAACGGGAAAATCGCCGCCATTAATTTTGGTTTGAGTTAGATACCTGAAAGCAATTCCAAGTGGGGCATGGCGGAAAAATAAGAAAAGTGTTCGGCAGAATTGCGCTGGGATTGCAATTTAATTTTTTAGATATCAAAACACTAAAAGAAACACAATATATTTAAGACTTAAGGATTAAGTACAAAATAATTGACCAAACTATATATATTTTCACCAATAAGTGTCTACAATGTTTTTCGATTAATCTAGGTGTCTAATGTTACAAACATTACTCATTTAGGTGTCCGAACAGACAACGACGTTAATTTCTCTCGTTAAATGAGACGTGTCACAATCGGGTGATTATAAAATTTATTTTTAAAAAAATATTAAAAATATTATTATATTTATAAAAAAAACCTTTTCTCTTAAAATATAAAATAGCCCTAAATCCCTAAAATCTCCAAATCCTACCGTTAATCCACCACCGCCGATATTTTCCGACCGTTACCGCCGATGTAGTCTCTGTCATCATCCTAGTCATATGTCGTCGTATTTGTTGTTGATTGGCCGTAGGAATCGCGTGGGATCGTGATTTTCAACCTAGGGTTCGAGGGCTATAAAACATCTATTCATCGTCGATCGACGATTACATAGGGGTTTTAATTGCAGGGAGGGAGGGAGGGTGAAGCTTTGTCGATGGAAAAGGGTGGTGGTCGGCGTGAGTTTAGGGGTTAAAATGAAGATTTTTTAAGTTTTAGGTTTATTTCGAAATTTATGTGTTTTATTTTTAAAAAATAGGGTAATCTATGTCAAATACCACTCGTCTTTATGCTCAGAATCGAAAATGCCACTGACATTTCAATTTTGCCAATTTTAGCACGGACGTTTATGTTTCACTTCAATTTTGCCACTCTGTCGTTAATCCGTTAACGGCATGATGACATGGCATGGACGGGTCGTGACGGTGATGACATGGAAAGCTTACCAAAACGATGTGGACCTACAGAAAGAGATGAAGTTGTTTTTGGTCCGTCTATTATAATCCTCGGCCTGACTCAGATCAGCACCACAGTCCTTAACCTGACAAACTGCGCGATTTCCAAAACCTCCACTCAACTTAGTCTTCTTCCCACTAGCTCCGTCCCAAGCTCCGCCCAAGCTCTCATATCACTTTGACTGATTGGGTAACCATGACCACCTTGAGAACCGAGCTTTAAAGTAAGGCCACCTGCTTCTTCATAGGCACTGTCATCTTCCACCACAATAACCCTTCTTTTCTTTTCCAATTCCATTTTCCCTTTATCAGTTTCAGGATTCATTTCTTCAGAGCATGACGATGAAATATTCGACGAATTTCCAGGAATCCCAAAATCTAGTGGGAAAAACTGCCTTCCCATGCCGTCGGCAAACACTTGATTTATCGAGCTAGCAATGAAAAAGTCACCATCTCATTTCCAATCGTTCAAATCCCACTCCACTGTCATTTTCCCAACCGCCTGTAAATCTACTGGATTCATTCCATAAAATGAACGAGCTTCAGTCGCAAGTCTAGCCTCCATTTTCCAAACCCAGAGACACAACAAGATCCGAACCCAGTATTTCAATCTAAAAATATAATTTTACAACAAAAACCAAGAATTTTAACCCTATTCCAGCTACAGATCAGAGCTCCAAAACCCCCAAAAATAGACAAATTATACAATTAATTACAACTAATCAGCTTCAACTCTACCCCAAAAAACCAAAACCAGTACACAGGCACATACATGATTCCAATTAAGAGCAACCCACATACCCAAATTAAGGCACATCCATGACAAAAGCCCCTTGATGAAACTTGTCTGTAGATTTTTCAAGCATCTTATAATCCATGAATGAGGCATTATTTTCCATAGAAACTGTCCTTGTAGGCTTGAATTTGCCAAAAAATGGTGTCAGTGCAGCCCCTTTTTCAGCATCTTCAAATCCAAAACCACAGAAAGAAGAGGAAACATAGGGAAAAGAAGCATCAGTTCTAAACCCTAACTCTCAAAGTCCCAAACTATGAAGAAAAACTGAAATAGTATGGGGTGAAAAGAATATACTTGAGCTCTTCCCATCATTTCTGGTGGATTTACGTGATTTCTTACTGTAATAAACCCATAAACAAAACAATGAAGAGATAATTGCAGCCAAGGGAGAGCAAGCAAGAATGAGAGTTATTGCCATTTTCTTGGACGGATCCTTCTTTTTGTGCTCATTGCTTCCCAGTTGAAATCCTGCTATCTCATTAAACCTTTATAGAGTCAAAAGCATAACTTTTCTCAGGTAACACAGATATTACGTGGACTAAATAACTTTAACAAAGTCGTTTATGTCATCTCCGTCACGGCCATCCATGCCATGTCATTGTGCCGTTAACGGATTAACGACGGAGTGGCAAAATTAAAGTAAAACATAAACGTCCGTGCTAAAATTGGCAAAATTGAAACGTCAGTGTCATTTTCGATCCCGAGTATAAAGATGAGTGGTATTTGACATAGATTACCCTAAAAATATATATAATTTTATTTTTAAAAAATTTATACAAAATCTTTAAAATCATCTGATTATGACATGTGTCACTTAACAAAAAATTAACATTGTTGACGGCCCGAATACCTAAATAAGTAATGTTTGTAACGTTAAACACCTGAATGTACCGAAAAATATTATAGGCATCTATTCATGAAAATAAGTATAGTTTGGGCACTTATTTTATGCTTAAGCCTATATTTAATAAATAAAAAATATTGTAAATGGTTTACATGTAATAATACTATAATCAGCTTAGGACTTGCTTTGGGGTTGGTGGAGGTGACGAATTCACAGACGTTCAAAGACGTAAGCCTATAGTATATATTATAAGAGTTGAGCCTCGTAATTTGAGCACGTTTTTAAGCAATGAAATTAGGTATATTTGTTAATTGCATTTTAATAAGATTTTAATATTTAATATTAAATTTGATCTAATATTATACTAAGACATTAAATATTCAAAACAAGTTATGTAGTTCTGCTGTACGTCAGCCTAATATAAGGTTAAAGAAATGTGTAACAAAAAATGTTAATTTTATTTTAACGTTTCTAGTAGAGCACTATTTAAATGTTAATTTCGTTACCTAATATGTAAATCTTTTTAATGTTTTCGATTGTAAATCTTATATTAACTTTAAAAAAAATTAGCTAACCATATTCCCATATGTAATGGGGTAAGGGGGAGGTAGGGTAATAGGCTGCCCCCAATGGTAAGTTGAGAGCAGCTTCTGCGAAAGACCTCCGACAATTATGAATTGTCCACCGTAAGACTCGATCTCACGACCACAAGATTAAAAGCCTTGCGCTCTACCAACTGAGCTAGACGGGCAATTCTTATATTAATTTTATATTTATTAAAAACATATTTTTATTAAATAGGAGATAATTAATTAATCTAAGTCTTTAACGACGTGTGGTATTTAATTGTTAAATTGGGTGGCGTGAATTGTGAAATGCTATTGAAAATCCACACCGTTAATTTAACTATTTAGACTAAATTGTTTAGTATGTAATGATCAATTTGTGATTGTTTACCACGTTTCCAGCTTTTTCCCCTCTCCCACTTGAGATGTTGCGATGATTGTGGGCATCAGTTTTACTTTTCAATTTTATAGTCTTGTTAGGTATAATAATTTTATAATCTATTACTATTTACTTTACTAATTATCTTCATTCGAACATGTAGAGTTCAACGAATTTATAAATATTTTAATTAATTTTGTAGGTGGTCGATGGTCAGTGCTGAATTTTGGAGTGCCTATGTTGGTCTTTTATTGGCGTGGAACGTTGGGTTTAAACCCGTTGTTCTTGAAATCGATAGTTTAGAGGTGCTTCGGAAGGCTCTTATTCCTTGAGGTCGCACTTGTTTGAGCTTTGACAACGTTATTTGATTGTTAAGTTTCAACATGTTTTTCGTGATGGAAATAAGGTTGCCAACACTTTTATCTATATCAATTTCAAACATGTGCGTTCCATATCTAGTGAATTTTATTTTCTTTTATCATGTTATGTGCAATGTAACCAATCAAAGAGAGAATTTTAAGGACCACGTCTATAAAAAATCCAAACATAAAATAAAATAAAAAGAAAATTCAAAAGACACAATAATAGACGAAATCTTCTTTTAAATTCGACATCCATCATCCATAATGACCCAATAATTGTCAATAGTACTCCTCTGTATAATTTTGATTTTTTTTATTTTCTAATAAAATTAATTATTCCTATTTGCTAGAAAATCACCATTAGTTTCTTAAATATATTTAGCTAATATATGCTATTTACATCTTAGGGCACGTTTAAAGAGTTACGTGGAATTAGAGTTGGATGTAATTGAGTATTAGATATTTAAACAGTTATTATAATTTACGAATCTTGTTAAATTGAGTATTTAATTTTTAGGGTTTGTTTGAAAAGATGTCCTACAATTAGATTTGAATATAATTATGTGTAATTATATATGTATGTTGGAAGTGTTGGTAGCAACTCGATAAATTATATAACTTGTTCAATATTATTAATACGAAATATAAGTACACCATAATCACTAACTTCAGCTAGTCTACAAATACTACACACAACCAAAGCGTTGTTAAGCTTCACTTGTTTACTCTTGTATTTTTTTTCTCACACACATACTCATTAAAATTAAACTACAAGCATATATTTATAATGTGCTTAAACCGCCTCACCATCTTAATTGCTAAGCTTTGAATTTGCTGCTACCACCTAATTATCAAGTGTGTTGCCGACATATCTTTGTGGTTGAAGTTGCTTCCATTTAATCATCAAAAGCGCTGCCACGTTTTAAGCAATTTACTTTGTTAACCATTTACATAACTATTCGCCAACTCAATTCTTCT